GGAGAGAGGGAGGGGGGGGGGGGGGCGCCAGGGCCGGGAACGTGGAGGGAACGGCAGATATGGAGAAGCACGGGGTTGCCGATGAACTGGCGGAGACGCAGAGGAGTACGACGTGGTGACGGGCGGCTGGATAAACGACACGGACAAGCAGAGCGAAGCGTGAGGAGGGGGAGGGGGAGATCGGCTTCGCAACCACGAAAGAGAACGCTGAGATGCGTAGAAATGCAGGGAGTCATGGAGTAGGGTGAGCAGCCAAATGGAAGGCGCGTAGCCCGAGGAGCGCATCCGCCACGGCAGGCCCACGGCACGGCACGGCAGGCCCACGGCACGGCACGGCAGGCCCACGGCACGGCACGCCCACGGCACGGCAGGCCCACGGCACGGCACGGCAGGCCCACGGCACGGCAGGCCCACGGCACGGCACAGCAGGCCCACGGCACGGCAGGCCCACGGCACGGCGCGGCAGACCCATGGCACGGCACGGCAGGCCCACGGCATGGCACGGCAGGTCCACTGCACGGCGCGGCAGGAGTCACGATACGGCGCGGCAGGCTCACGGCACGGCACGGCGGGCCCACGGCATGGCGCGGCAGGTGTCACGAAGACTTTGTGCCTGCCTCTTAAAGATCTCTTGTCTGAATTCACAGCTCCAGTCAGAGCATTAAAATTCGTTTAGGGTTCTGACTTGAGTAGGTGATCCAGACTAGTCGGGTTTGATTGGATTCAAATGGAATCGAACCTTGGAAATTTTCGAAGTTGAGACCAAGGATTCGCGCTGCAAAAATTAGGGCTGGTATCCCCAAAACCTGACCGAATCCTGAAAACCATGATCGAAATGTGCAGTAGATGTGCAGAGTGTAAGCCGTATGCATCAAATGTATGTTGTATGTGCATCATACTGTGTCGTCCGTCATCCTTTTATGGCACGATCGTAGTTTAATCTTTAAATAAAAAGCTTCGAATTTGTTCGAATCTCGAATCTGAACTCACCGACCCCTGGATTCGAACACCAAAATGTCGTGAATTTTTATCTCTAGTTCCGACCCGTTTGCAGGACAACCTTCTCCAATCGCAGCTCACAGCCGATGTGGTTGCACTTGCGACAACTTTAAAATACATGGACAAAGTTGCAGACAAAATGCCTTCTTCGCACGCTTAAAGCAATAAAATCATTGCGCATTTATGTTCTGCAGGTTTTCCTCGTAGCTTTCAAAAACGTTTATTGCGCTTTGCCGAAATAAGTCAACCGCGTTCTTTTTAGGAGGGGGAGGGGTCATGAAACAGTACAGTACAGCACATGTGTTTTCATAATGCAACTCAACCCAAAAATGAGTTTGAAACACAAGCAAGCGTTGGTTTGCAACCAACCGCTCATTCCAATGGTGTTTATGATAATTCGTTGCGCTATTAATCAAGCCTTTTTGCATCGTATCGGTCACCAACAAATGCACGCAGCACACTTAGCAATGTACACGACAGCAATCATTTCACCTGTCATGGACCGATTCTTCCCCCCAGTTTTTCATATACTTGAACACTATTGAAGCCTGTCGGAACCATATTTGGCTGGTGAGCCTGGTCCCGAGCCAGCACACAGACCCATCAGCGCGACAATGCGGCCAGCACACAGAGGACACCTCAGCGCGCACTCCACGCTACACGGGCGGTGCCACGGCACGCGCGCTGCCCGTGCGGACGGCGGGGCGCACCGCTGACCCCCGGCCGAGCCGCGGGCGGTAAAGAGCGCCGCTGACACCTCGCCCCCCATCCATCAGCGGCGGCGCGCGCCGCGTCCTCACTCCAAAGCCATTAGCGGCCGGCTGAGGGCGCCACATTGAGCGCCGCCGCACCTCGCGCCGAGGGGAGTCGTGATTCATCTCCCCTAGGTAGCCGTGTTTGTTCAGGTTGTCACGCCGTCGGCCGCCCGGCGAAATCAAAGCCGGCCGGCCAGCTGATGGTTCCCAGCGGCGGCGGCGACGGCGGCGGCGGCGGCGGCGGACGGCTGGCGGCCGGTGGGAGCGCGAGCCGTCGCCCGAGACGCGACCGACCTGACGGCTTCCGGCCGCCGCCGTCTGGGTGGTCGGCGCAGGCGGTGACGGCCGGCAGGCGGCCCGTCAGCCGGCACGGATGCTGCTCCAGGCGGGGCGGGCAGATGAGGTGTTTTGTTCCGGTTCGTCCTGGGCCAATCACAGTGGTCGAGTGTGTTTGTGTGCTAGGGATTCGGCTGCACATTCTGATCGGCGCGTCGAATTTGAGAGTTCGGTGCCACCAACATTCCGGAAAATGTCCAGTATCACTACAATCCCTCATAAAAGTTTCATTTATCTTTCCAGTGCGTGCATCCTGCAATCACCGTCCGTCCCTCTTGTCCTCTATCTCGCTTCATCCTGCATCCTCGCGACACTCCGCTTGTCCCGGGCAGGCTGCATGTGTCAGCCACGAGTTGGCCGGGAGCCCCGTGGGAAGGAGGACCCCGACCGCGTACTCGGCGCACATGCGCGGGTCAAAGCTCGGCGGTTCGCCCCCCAGGCGCATGCAGGTCTGCCCCACCGTTAACCATTCTCCTTCATCCCATAGCCCTGAAATGCTCATTTCTGATCGAAAGAGCTCTTATCCAAAAAAAAAACTTAACCTGCATTCGTCCCAAAGTCGACCATATGTCTTGCCGTCACCATCATCCCATGGTGAACCGCGTTGAATAAAAATGCATGAAATCATGCGGCACAAATTAAGCTCAGGGAGACCACTCTGACAACACCAGTGCATTTCGTACCACGATACCCCCCCACAGGACCGTCCGCCCCCACCAGACGGTCCGGCCCGGACGTCCGATGACCGATGGTCCCCGCCGGCGCCTCCTCATCCGCCGCGCCATCCATAACGACGGCCGCGTCATAATTGAATTCATTCAAGTGTCGCCGAGCCGCGCGACAGACGGCGCAAAAACGGCGCCCAAAAAGCGCGCCACCGGCGGCCCACCGCCACAGCACGTGACGGGCCGCGGCGCGTGCGGTGCCGTCACATTCCGCGGCGACGGGCGGTTTGACGAGGCGTCACGACCCCCGCCGACGGCGGGGGCGGGTAGCCGCGGGCCGGTCCCCCCGGGAGCAGCGCCTGGGCTCGCCCCTGGCGGCGGTGATTTATTGCGGCGCGATCGGCGGAGCGCCGCGCCCGCCAGATGCGCGTCTGCTTTCATTACCGACAATGACGGGGATTATGAATATTGATTCGTCCCAGTCACACCCGAGCGCCGGTTTAATTACTGTGAGAACGCGGTGCGCGCGCGTGGGACGCATGTTGCTCTGGCGCACCGCAGGGGCGTGGTCGGCACGGAACGGGTGCAGGCAACAGGCAACACCTACCCGCCTATACGTTTGCAGAGGCGTAACTAAGTTGCACAGCAAAAGTTGCCTAGTTTGCCAGGTAACTTTTTAAGTCTGCCAAGTCGTTTAAGTTGTTTAACAAAGCTATCTCAATGCTTCCCAAAGTTGTCAGTATCCAGACCCCACTTATGCCAATGATGATTCCTCCTTCAGAGTATAAATGGAACGTGTGTACGAGCACGGCGGATGGTAGGAATGACTCGCTATAGAGAGCTTGAATGCACCAACTTCGTACCCCTACTCCAAACATTAAAAAAGTATGAGCCAAGTTGAAGCCAAATGATAGTCGAAGGTGTGGATGCAGGCTTCATTCTTGGTGACGCGCAACTGCATGCCCGGCATTTCAGGGCGTTAGCGTAAGGTCTTAAGCGTTGCGTCGAAAAAAACGGACTCATAAAGCCAATCTGCAACAAACTGGTCAAATATCACATGTGGCCAAGGAGCCAGTTTGCAAGAGTGCATTATGGCAGCGTGCTCCTGGCCGTTTCGGGTAAGGACACGTTCAGAGAAAAAACAAATCAGGCAACTTGTTTGCTAATAAGGAACTGGTTTCCAGTCAACATATAATTTACCGTCATTTTTGCCAGATAAAATCGCGAAGTGATCTGTTTCTTGCCGTACGATGCGGCGCCGCGGACGCCCTGTGCCAGACTGAGCTCTATGACCGGTTGCTAGCGGACCGCTGTACACATGGTTGGGCCCAGCAAATTGCCTCTTCTGAGATTTGAGCGCACGGCCAAGGAATAACAGCTCAATGCATTCCGTCATTCACCGAGACGGAGCTTTTGTGAAGGGGTATGTATTTTCTACGCTCTCGTGGGCCTCTTACCCACCGGGGAGGCTGAGCGTCTCTCGGTTGCATCAGTTACTCAGCACCAACGGTGCCATTGCCGCAAATCTTGAACCACGCATAACCACAGACACGCCTGCGTGCCGGATTTGCTTGCCCGCCACCTGCTTGCTTGCACTGCCATTAAGTCTGCCTTTCAGTTTTTTTGTTTGTTATGGATAACTGAAAATGTTAGGCCTACCGCACCGGGTCACCTACTGGTGGCAGGGAAAACAGCCAAACGTAAAACATCGAGCCCTGTTTTCGTGAAGCGTCATGCAAGTAGTGCTACCTATCAGCAGCCAGTTGCCAAGTTCGAGGGGTGTCGGCTCGCCCGGCTTCCGGCCCCAAACGTCTGGTTTCCGAGCGTCATCCTTCAGCCTGAACGCGCCGAGTTTGCCAAATACAGCTTCGTTGGGCGATGGGGCACCTCCGCAAGCCGTTCGAGACCTCTTTACTCGCACCGCCAACGCAAGTGAGCGGGGTCGGTCAACATGCGGATGGACATGGTACACGCCTTGAGTGTCGTCAAGCTGCAGCCAAGTCCCTGGCCAGTGGCCTCTGCGTATGGCGAGGCACTCCCTCCAGCGTCTGGCAGTCATCAAGCCTGGTCACGGCGCCGCCAGGTCGGCGCGCGCGCCACTTTCGCGGTAGGTACATCATGCCGAGCACGGCCCACCGACGCACTGCATGACAAGTGGCTGCTTTGTTTTTGAAAGGGCACCGAAATAAAAGTCCAATTTCGGGGCGCCTTAATGGACACTACGACATGGAGTCAATAGGCAGAAGGCGCTTCTAGTCGTAACATATATTTAGCGCGTCCATTTGCACAGAAAATACGAGTATGCACATCAGCACTACAATAAAACCTGTTGTCATTTTATGGCCCACCCTGCAATCCCGCTCCCATCAACCATTATAACCGCACAGGTTCCATTGCGCAGGCTACAAGTGAGCTCCGTTAAATAAAACCAGCCCCCAGCGCTCTGACGGAGTCGCCACCTCCAGTTGTACCTACTGGCCACTGAACACGGCGGCAGCAGAGCGTGCCTCCTCATCCCATTCCAGTCACCTCGCCCCCGCGACTGCCGTTCCTTTCGACACAGCGACGTGCGCTCCACCTGGACAAACCGGGGCGCCGACTCGGTCCTTCCTACAGAGGCGTGCCAGGCCCATCGTTTGCACTGTTCCCCACGGGCCGCGCCGGTCTGAGAGCATTCACAGCTTCTCCGTCATTTCCGGCACAGCCTTGAAAAGGTCAGCCACCAGCCCCAGATCGGCCACCTGGAGACAAACGTCACGGGCGTCAGAGGTCGCGCAGCGGGCAACTACACACTACCGCACACAAGCTGGCGAAGAAACAAGGCGGGGTGTCGCTGCCGGCTGCTGGGAGCAATGATGACTTCTCACCATTTTGTTCAGCTCCAACCCGCCGCCTGAACCGCCGGTGTCAGTCGCGGCAAACGAGTATGTCAGATGTTAGCTAGTCATCACGTGGTAACAGCGCCAAACCTTGCCCCACACTGACTCTGGCGGCCTGCACATGCACTCTCCGCTGGAAAAGGTATGCAGCATCGTTCAACTACGGTTTGGCACACTGGCTATCGGGGAAAACTATCGGGCCAAAGCGTACTGCTAGCGCCACCTATACAGCGTCTCCTAACCTAAAGTGTACGACACACCCGGCAGGGCATTGCCTCACCTGGAAGATAGGGGCCTCCGGGTCCTTGTTGATGGCAACAATCGTCTTGGAGTCCTTCATTCCAGCCAAGTGCTGAATGGCTCCGGAGATGCCGACCGCAATATACAGGTCCTGGGCATAAGGTAGAGGCTTAGGTCAGTTTAGTGGGGTTTTCGGTCGGAATTTGCCATATCAGTTTTACAACCGACTGCCACATCATGAAACCGGACCACATAAACACACCGATTCGCGAAAAAAAACAAAAATCATCCATTTTTTCACGGCAAAACATCCGCACCCAAAAGGCTGTGCCACATGCTGACATACATGACCCGAACATTCCGACTACATCCATCCGATAAGCCACGCGCCAATAACAACCCTTCGCTTTATAGCATGCATGAACATAAGCAGCGGTGCATCGAAATCACCTCGGCAAAGTGTGCCATGGAGATGGAAATGCCTTTGCTTAAGTCTCGGAAAACGCGAAGACCGAGATCGGTCTCACGAAAATGGTCTAACACTAGAAGCCCCAATCATCCATAAAACGCGTTCCTCTCTACAGCAACCCCGCACTTTGTTACACTGACGAACAGCACACGCCAGCGTGTGCGTCCCGCCGGCCGCGCCGGCTCGGCGCCGACGTTCACTCACCGGCGCGATGATCTTGCCTGTCTGGCCGACCTGCATGTCGTTGGGCACGAAGCCGGCGTCGACGGCGGCTCGCGACGCGCCCACGGCCGCGTTTAGCTTATCCGCCATCTTGTACAGCAGCTCGAAGTTCTCGCCCGACTTGAGGCCGCGACCTGGCGAGCGGGGTTGGTCACAGGGCGGCGCGAGGTCACGAGGCCGGGTTCTGTTACGGACCGCCATGGCATAATGGGGCGCGGGGTAATACTGACGCCAGACACTGCTCGTTCGCAGGGAACAGCACACATTTGTGTGCGCTTAATCGACGTCGATTCGGAGGCCCGACACGCGTATCAGGTAAGAAAAATCCGCGCACTACAACACAACGCATGTGATGTCCCGCTATGTCCAAGATGAGTCACACCCGTTCACGATGAATTGGTAAAACGAATGTCTTCAAAAACCGCCAGCCAGACCAACTGCGGGGAACAGGACATGATGAATGCTGATGATTTGGGGTTTCGGGCACAGCGACCACAAGGAACACAATGATCATGTGGCGTCCAGGGAACCGGGCAACTTTCTCCGCCTACAGATAGCAGAATGTAATGGTCCAATTATGCTCACCCCCCCCCCCCCCCCCCGGACCATCAGGAGGCCCGTCCGCCAGTGACCGCTGACCTCCGCTGACGACGTTGCCGGCGCTGGTGAGCTCAGGCCGGTCGCTCTTGCTCAGCTCCTGACCGACGTACTGGGAGGCAGCGGCGTCGTGCTCGGCGGCCGGCGCCGGCTCCTCCGCGGCGCCGCCGCCCTCGGCCGCCGCCGGCTCGAAGTTGGTGCCGCGCACCGTCACCACCTTCACCGGGTCCGTCGACTTCAGCGTCATGATGGCATTACCTGCGCCGGCGTCACACGGGTGAGCGTCAGAGGCGGAGACGGTGCAGACCAGACGTAGAGTAGGGTGGGGGCGGGGCGTGCGGGCACCACGCGGGCCAGGCGGCAGTGCAGCGCTAGGGCCGCGATGTACGAGCTGGGAACAAGCAGCAGAACAAAACTGGCTGACGCCGAAAATCAGTAGCCTGTAAAGCACATCATACCCATGACAAACTTGGGCATTACAACGAAGCAAAAACTGAGAAACGTTCTCAACGTGCACCACAAACCATAGAAGCACAGTTCACGTCAGTAGTCAAGCTTCGGCCTTCGAAGTTTAACCGTACCACACACAAACCACCAGAGTAGCCACGGAAAGCACCGCGACGCCAGTATCCGCCGTCTTTTCCACTCGTCCCCAGCGGCACTGCGCCGACCTCGCCGCTCGGCCGCCGCCGGCACTCCTCCTGCGCCCCAGCAGCCGCACCTGCGTAGATGGTGCGCACAAACGTGTCGGCGCCCTTGATGCCGATGATGTCCGAGATGGGCGACACGTCCAGCTTGGCCGCCACCCGCGGCAGCACCGACTTGCCGAAGGCCGTGGCGCCGGCTGGGGGAGAGCGGAGGAGCGGGCGTGAACGGAGGAGCGCAGACCGTCCCGGATCGCAGCGGCAATGCGACGGACGGACCGCGGGCTCCACACTAGCATAGTGATGCAGGCCGCACACTAGATGCGTTAGCAGTGAAGGCAATATACTGCCCATGTGGACAGGGTTAAACCACTCATGTGGGCCACGTGGTGCGGGTGGCGAAATTCAACAGGGTACCAAAAACATGTGCAGTGGACAGTTCAAACCTACACAGAATCTCACAACTGGTTTACTCAGTACTTAGAGTGGCCCAGGACTAGGGGCATAATTTTCCTGTCAGTTGTAGGGGGGAGTGGGGGGGGGAGAGGGACAGAAGCCCTCAAACTTTTGATAGAAATTAGGATCAGATCCTTGGAGAACATGATTTTTGTGTATTTTGTTGGTAGGTTTAGTCACTTTACACTGCTCAGCTGCCCAACTTCTGTTGTGACATGACACTGATGGTGGAGTCTGCAGGACAGGCATCCATACCCACCAACAAAGTGTGAGAATGCTGATGGTGGAGTCTGCGGGACAGGCATCCATATCCACCAACAAAGTGTGAGAATGCTGATGGTGGAGTCTGCAGGACAGGCATCCATACCCACCAACAATGTGTGAGAAGTTGAACTGTTTGTGGGCGGCCAGCAGGATTGGGGCGACCCGCTCAGCCAGCGCGCCCTCCAGGGCCTCACTCTCAGCAACCAGCAGCTTGGAGACGCCACCAACCTTGGCGACTTCAGCGGCCACCTGCCAGAAGAAGCTGGAACTAATGATGGACAAAGACAGAGCATGTGTGCACAAACCATTTCTACACCCCAGAAACCATATGTCACATGCACAACTGACAGGCTTTCAGCCACTCTAACACAGCAATTGTTTTACCCAATTGGAGCTTCATGAATGCAACATCAAAGGACAGGCTGCAGCAAAACATGACCCAGCTATGAACAGCCTCTGCCACTTCCTGTCAACCATGAGACAGGGCTGTTGCATGGATGGCAGCTGTGATTGACTGACATTTTTGCAGTTGGCTCCTGCCACTATGCAGGTGATCTCATGGCCGATCTCCTTTGCTGCGGTGATGGCACTTAGTGTGATGGCATTTAGCTTGTTGTCAGCATGCTCAGCCACCACCAGTGTGCTGTTGAGGCGATGCAGCACACTGGGCTGAAAACAAAGTCATGGGAATTGTGGTGAAAACAATCATTCATGAGGTGCTGACTGCTGAAAAATATATGCTCAGTGTAAAACAACAGTTATGCAACATACAGTGATGTTTCATCCCTATCTCAAACAAAGCTACCAAAAATTCAACTGAAATCACAATAGTGGCTTCTAATTTGCTGGTAGATGTCTGGAAGTTGATTTATTGGGAATGCTGCACACTTTGATCTCTTGTTGAACATAAATGCTCAATTTTATGCCAATTTGCAGCATTTCAAACTTAACTCCCTCAAGTTTGAGACTTCAGCACATTTCCAATCAAACATGTTTCCTGCTTTCCCAATGAGCTAGGATGGTAATATTATCATTATGTCATGCCATTTTGCTTACCATCAATTCAAGACCTGCACACAGTATAAAATTGTCTTTGACCTTACAGTATGTGCCAACCCATTTGAGATCAACAGGGGCAAGCTTCCAGAATGCATTGGCCATAAGTATCCTTAAATGCATACTATGTATAGCTAAGCCATGGGTGCAGACATACAGTGTCTTGAATGTCTTACATAATCTAGATAATCTGTGTAATCAATAGCTGCAAAGTAAATGCAGAAGCAGGCTATTAGATATGTATCTATGGCAGGGTTTGCCTTTTTGACACATTTAAATCATAAAACCATACCCTCAGCTTCATACTACAAAACTGAACCAGGACAGGCATCAGTACATGGAAACTGGAGCTTTTCAAATTGTATATCAGGTGGAATCACATGTAAACAATGATGTCCCACACTATGTGTTATATGTAAATAAGGTATAGGCAACAGTATCATTTTTCAGCTAAGTTTTATATCACACAAATCTGCAGCTTAATATTTTCTAGATGGCAAGTGCACTTGTAAGACTCCACCTCGCAACAACTTTCCTGCAGTCCAGCAGCATAACCACCTATTTGTGTGTAAGGCTCTGATAAATTTGATTACACATCCAGCTGGTGCCAGATGAAAATCACATTAACCTCATTTTGAATCCAAATCAGCATGAACAGTTAAGCAACTGATGGGCAGGTAATGCCTTAAAGGGCAATAATTAAAAAATAGGCTTTAACATATCAAATGTGATATGCGGGATAAAGAAGGGTGATGGAAATATAACACATCATATCAGTTGCTATTAGGCATGGCAACCGCAGGATGAGCTGAATCATGTACTTTTGGCAAACACAGCCTCATCATGATTACATAACCCTTTCCTCGAAGCAATTACTGGATATTGGATAACATGGACAATAAATACGCACTCACCTGCATTACACGACTTGCCCTCGCGGAAAACATCGTTGCTTTATCGAGACCACTGAATACGAAGAAACGCGACGTGTATAGACACCGCCCCCAAAAGATACTCCCTGGCGCCTCGACGCGAATCCCCCACACACGTCGCCGGAGGCCGTGGGCCAGAAAATAATCTTGTAACAGATGCGTCGAGTTAAGGGTATAAATAAGGCAGGAAAACTGTAAAACGGTAAACGAAGAACGCTAACAAGACTATTTGAACGTTATTGGCTGATTTATTTACAATTGAGGTGCTTCAATAAAATTTTAAATTTCATTTTAAGACTATTTCGTACTGAACTAGCAGTAATCAAGTAAAATATAAGAAACGCCCATCACGCACCACTAGTCTCGCACTTATTCCATTGCGTAATGATTAAAAAGGGCTCTGCCATCGGCATATAGCGGGGGGGGGGGGGGCAGGGGGACGGGGGGAGTAGACGGCCGGCCAAACCTGTTGATGGCCTCATGCTCCCAACCTGCGGCATCGATTGACATGAGACCTTCACCATTCGATTGCGCCATAGTCGATATAGCATTCTTTCCAGAACATTGTGACCTTCAGTCTGATCACGAGTCACCAAAAACCGCCGAAACCGCCTGAAAGTAGTTTGCAGACAACCCTATGCTTGGAGCCTAAAGCGCCGCACATCATGCGAGTTTACTAATCGGTTTTCGTTGTTTTTTAGCAACCTTTAACCTGATTTAAGGCTACCATATTCTAGGAAGCCTGGGATATCGACTAAGGCGCATCGATTGAAGGTTTCATGGTGATCGGTACGATAAGCTCGGAGTATGGGATTGTCTGCAAACCTTTTTTCGTTTTTTGTGACATTTGACCTGGTCCAAGGTTACCACGTCCCTGAAAGACATAGGATATCGACTATGGCGCATCGATAGGTGAAGTTTTCATGGTGATCAGTGCTGAAGGCTCGGAGCATGGGGCTGTCTGCAGCCAATTTGGTTGGTTTTGGCCGTTTTTGGTAATCTCTGACCTGACCCAAGGTCAGCATGTTCCGGAGAGGGTAAGATATCGACCAAGCGGCATCAAATGGCGAATGTTTCATGTTAATTGGTGCGATAGGCTCGGAGCATGAGGCTGACAGCAGGTCTGGTCGGCCGTTTAGTCCCTCCTCTGCCAGATATATCTATTGGCCCTATGGCTTTTGCTGACAGAGATTCGGGGCGCGTTGGATGTAGGTTGTGTACATGGGCGCAGGGACGCAGCCAGAATTTGCAACAGTTTGGGGGGGGGGGACTACCATGATTCCCGACGGGGAGTAATTTTGTACTAGCCGATCCCAGCCCATTGACAGTGCCTACTGCCTGCGCACTATGAACAGACATGCCCCACGAACGCTGTTAGACGCGGTACGTAGGGTATCAGCGATCCATTGGTGTTGGTTTGCCGTACCTTTACAGCGGATGTTCCAGAGAATGTATTTACGGAGAATGTTTACAATGTTGATATTTCATGCGACTATCCGCTTGTCTTCTTACTTGATTACGGCTATTTGATTTTACATGTCACTGCCCATGACTTAACATGATATTAAAGCCAAAATGATTTTTCGAATCACCAGGTCCCGGACTTCCCTTCGTTAGAGTCGTGGTGAAAGACTGCGCCCGCACCTGCCGGGAAAGGGAGCGCAAGCCTCCCCTAGGCTGCGCCACTGCAAGGGTGTACCTTTACTGCCAAATGGAAATGCAGCAATTTCCCCAACGTCGCAGAACATTAGGTATGTGAAATTGCATGCAAGTAATGGACTAAAAAACTTATTCTCGTCCGAAATATTTTACGGGAAGTTCTGCCTGCTATCTAGTACAACCAAAGACCGACACTATAAGTACCTAGCATCGCAATTTGCCTGCAGCCAGCAGAGCACAAACGTTCTTCTTCCCAACCGGTTCCCAAGCCTCCAGTACGATGGCTTGCTTGCGTCACCTTACCGACAGCGCGTTCCGCCCACGGATTCACCGCCGTCCCGCGGCCGTTACAGTGGCTACTGCACAAGTGGTCCAACTGTGAGATTAAGAAGTATTTCAAATGGCCATGACGAGTCAGCGGAGCTCTAACCGTATCCCACGTGAATATCGGACTCTGCCCACAGTATTTTACCTCAGTTTCCAGCGAAGAATGCCGATAATTCACTGCTGGACCCAAAAGCTCGAAAGATATGACAGTAATGTATTGGATGCATTCGGACAAATCAGGCAGTTTCAACATTCTAGGGATTTGACGATCATGTGTGGGGGGGGGGGGGGGGACAAAAATACAGCAGACGTGGAGCGGGAACGGTTGGCCGACAACTTGCACGCTCGCCGAGATGACGTCACATCTCTCACACCGAACCAGAGACAATCACCCAATATTCGATGTGCACTAAATAAGAATGCATCGAACACCATACCTCGGGGGTCCGGATGAGACAAAGCGCCCGATCTTTGGCCTCAAATCGGAGCGGGCGTGTCACGCAGTTCTCAAGGCAGGCTGGATTGCATGCCGACCAGGCCAGGCCGGCCCGACGCAGGCGGCTAGAGCCGAAACAAAACTAGGTCCAAATTCTATACCGCTAACTTAGAGTACACAATAGACTGTACTACGAGGTATAAAGACACGGTTTGAAAATAGGGCCGTCCGCAGCGCCGCCACAGGCGGCGCGCCGACCAGCCCCCGGCAATTCCCATCCACTGTACACCAAAGGCTCTGACGTTACCGTCCATCGCGCCACCAGGGCCGGGCACCTCTCCCTCTCTCTCGCTCTCGCTGGCAAGGCTGGCGCTTCCCGTCGACTCACCCACCGGGCCCGTAGTGAGATCAGCAGCAGTCGCATCCACAGACCGTCACTCGCACATCCGCGGCCACCCAGCGGCCGGCCGCGGCACTGAAAGTGTCGTCCTCCGCCGCCAGTCGCCGCGCTGCGCAGCCGTCTGGCACCCATGTACAGCCAATGGAAAGTGATAAAACAACGTGGATGCGCACAAGTCACCCGGTGCGAGAACCAATACGGCTGGGAAAGACGGAGCCGGCGGCCGGCGCGCGCCAGGTCCGCCCGCTCCGACCGCGGTCCGCCGGCGGCGGTCAGTGATGAGGCGCGCGCGCGCGCGCGCGCCGTCCGGGCGGCCTCGGCGGCCCGGCCGGATTGTACTGGTGCACGTCTTCACAGGAGCTTCTCGGCGAGCGAGGCGCAGGCACTCGGGCTTACAGAGCGTTCACAGACTACGCCGCCCTGCGCGGGGGGAGGGACGGCCTGCAACAGGGCGGCCGGCGTTAGCGGGCCGCGCCAGGCCCGGCGGAGCCCCCGCCACCGGCTCGGCCACCGCCAGTCGCGCGGCCCACTCGCGGCGGCGGCGCGGCAGGCGCGCAGTCCCGCGCCACCGCTCATCACAAACATAACCGCCCCACACACGCCAGCACTCGCCCCAAATCGAACTGTAGGTCACTCCAGATGAGGAGAAAGCGGGATTCACACATGGCAGCACATGCGGCCTACGCGACTGCACGAGCGCGAGTCGGACGGTGGACGGGCGGGCCAGCCGCTCGGTCTGTCGGCGGGCACCCCGACAGACAGTCCGTCCCAGGCGGAAGGTGGCCACTTGAAGTGTGATGTATGCGAGGCTTCACAATTTACGCGCATGCCCACAATTATCTAAATTAAAAGCCAGCTTTTCAGGATTGGAGACTGACAGCGACGTAACTAGAACACCGAAAAATACCGATGCTCTAAAGAAACTACAATACTACAGCCGGACAAAACAAGACACAGCGCCAGTAGCCACTACGGGATCCGGCTTGGGTTGGTCAGTCGAGAACCGCACAGAAGCGCGAACTCAATTGTACAATGGCCATCCGGCGGCGTCTCAGCCGCGGACGTCGACTGCGAACACATGCGAGAGGGCGGCAGACCGCGTGCCACCGAACAGCGAGCGAAGCGTCTCATCGGCCCGGCGGCAGCGGAGCACAGCGCCACCGACGCCGCCGCCGCCGGCGGCGTCCGGTCATCAACATGAGCCGTAAGCACGCGCCGCCGGCCGCGGCTGCTCCCTTACGGCCGAGAGCTCCGACGGCGGCGGCTCCGGCGCACGGGACGGCAGTCTGAAACAGCAGGGGTGGGGCGTCACGGCCGGGTACGGGGTGGCGGCCAGGTCAGGACACGGCACCTCACAGTGGGAGACGGCCGTTTCCGGCTCGGTGGGGCGAAACATCAGCGTGTCAGCTGAAGACACACGAGACGCAGCAGTGGCCAGTACGGAGAGTGGCACGCACACTTGCTCGCACTCTTCCCTACCGTCACGCGTCACCGCCGTTCGCCCGGCCCGGAGCTGCCACTATCGCGGACACATGCGGCGTCGTCGGCCACAACGCTGTTTCACCAGAGCCCGAGCCTCTGACCAGCCCGACCGGCAGCACGGGTCTGGCCACCCAATCGGCTGATAGCACGTCTGGACTCACTCCAGTGGGCAACTACTGGCGACAGTCACATATCATATTGCGTAGTACCTGGAACCTTAAATGACAACAGAAAACATTCAATAACCATCTGATGACAGCTAAATAATGGCCAAAACCATCCCACGCCGTATCTTGAAGTGCTCCGCCAAAGACCGCTCCGCAGATAAACACAACAGCACACAACGTCACGCCGGCGAACAGGAGGCACGCAGCCTTGGCCGACTCCCCACCCGGCCCGTGTTTGCCTCGTCACGATGCATGACGATGCACGCCGCCCCACCGACCGGTAAACCACTGCTCTGTCCATGAACGGACAGCCGCCAAGTTCTGAAGTCGCGCCGCACAAAATCGACCATCAGATCAGACCTTCGCGATTGTGACAAAGTGCTTTTGCCAAAGCGGTCAACACAACCGGTGTGGCTGTGCCAACCCTAATGTATCAAAGCATGAACATGGCCACAAACATTTAGTGCATGTCGCTAACGCCGCCCGTGCATACCAGTCTGCAGGATGCCGACCAGCATCGTGCCCGCCAATCAGTCCACCCCAGCGTGACAACGGAAAACAATGAGGCGACAGTGCGGGCCGCCGGCCGGCCCATCCCGGTAAGCCCCGGACCGGTTTGGTGCCGGAGTCGCGGCGCCGGCGGCCCCCGCTGCCCCATGTCCGCCCGGCGACCCGTGACGCGGCGTCCAGCGCACGCGCCCGGCCAGCGGCCCTTTTACGATGGGACTAGGGCCGGCCGGTCGACTCAGCCCCGGGCCGCGCTGTCAGCACGGACAGCGCGGCCCGGCCCACGCCCTCGTGCGGGCGCGCTACCTCATATGCTGCAGCCTTGGATCGTTACTAAGGGATGCGTTGTAGGCCAAGTCATATACATGAATGGAAACCGTCAAACTCGTCGGTTTTGGTTCATATAAACTTCCTTCAACAGCGAGTGCGTCCATTAGTTAGCACAAGGCGATTTACTGACAGAGCAAAAATACACACAATAATCTCTGCGGAGGACCAAAACACAGCTCAACTCCCGCCCTCCAAAGACAAACTAACTCCATTCTTAATGATGTGCATACCTCTACAGCCAGCTTTTCCCCTCCCCGTCCTTCCACTCGTGCCCGGCAGCTGTACGCCGCCCTCTAAGCCTCCTATAGACAGTTTTCTTGCCCACCCTCTGTAAACATGCTGCCTACAGCTCATCAGTGAGTGTCCGGCTCCAGTGATCTGGCACAGGGAAGCATGTCGGCGCACTGCCGCGACGAAACTCAGCGTCAATGCGAATGCAAATGCATATCATCTCACGCCATGAATGGCTTTGCTGGATCAACGCCCCATCCTTATATTGTAAGTACACATGGTCTTGATTACCGCTACCGTCTCGTAAGCACCGCGCGCATAGCAACATGATGCTATTGACGTTTCCCGCTGCGGCTGATTAATCGCCTAGTCTCTTTGTCTATGCGCTCACCGCCAATACTTTTACACCGCCTGCCAGCCGCCAATAGGTCCTTAGGAAAAGCGGACTGTAATCGGGTTGAGCTAACGAGCATGCAGCCCTTGAAGTCGCTTCTGTGTTTGATAGATGACCAGAGGCTCGCTTCTAAGTTTGGACAATACCTTGAGTGAGGACAATTGAACCTTTACCCTTTGCCCTCGCTGCCACGTTACCCAGCGAGTCAGCACGTGACGGGGACACTCCGTCAGTGTCCCGTTCCGATTAGTGGCGGGCGCCCGCAACGGTGGCAAACACCGTGCTCGACCGGCCTCTTCACCCACAAGTCAGTGCCCGGCGGACATTTCCCGTCTGTCCTGAGACGACCCCGCGCCGCTGTACTGTGACCGCCAGCCGCTGCACTCTGTGCCAAGCCGTGACCACGCTCGTATCTCAGCGGCCGGGTGTCCCACCTGCCGAGATACGCCGCCGTGATTACGGCACGCGTGCCCTCCCGCGTTCGGTGCGTGACACCGCCTCTGACGGTGTGACGGTGTGACGCGTCACGCGGCGGCGGCCCGGGCGCGCTCCCCGCGGCGGGCGGAGCTGGAGGGCTCGGACGGGGTCAGGCGCCCGTGCGCGTGCCGCGAGCTTTCCGCTCCGAGCGCGGATCGTGCCGTGCGCCGCACGCGCCCCGCGTGCTGCTGTGGGCAGCGCCAAACCGATGCATAGAATCCGTCACTCCCTGCGTACGCCTGCACGCTTGGCGCGGCTGTCACCGCAGCGCGCCCCACCACACCGCTGTCGCAGCTGCGCAGCCGGCCCAGCCGGCGCGGGGCATGCGCGGCCCGGCGCGGCCGGGCTCCGCGCGCGGCGACTCACTGTTGCCGGCCGTCGCGCGCCGGTGCCTGACGTCAGTTGGGCAGGTCTTCGGCCACGAACTTCTTCAGCCGCTCCAGGTACTGACCGTGCACCTCGATGTCGTTGTGGCCGGCGCCCTGGCGGCAGCCGGACGAAACAGTCACTGACAGGCGGGCTGACCGCTACAAAAGGCGAGATAACTGTCACAGCAGGCGGGCTGACCATAACGAAAAGCAGGATGACTGTCACAGCAGGCGGGCTGACCGCTACAAAAGGCAGGAAAAGTGTCAAAGCAGGCGGGCTGATCGTCACGACAGGAAAAAAACTCACGACACGCGCGCTGACCGCCACGACAGGATGGCTGGCCGTCACCACGGGGGTCTGACCGTCACTACAGGAGGGCTGACCGTCACGACAGACGGGCTGACCGTCACGAAATGTGGGCAAAACTATCAAAGCAGGCAGGCTAACCGTCACCGTAGGCGGAGTAAGCCGCTACGGCGGGCGGACGAAACAGCAGGCTGGCAAGTCACTACGAGCGAAGTAAACCATCACAGACGCACGATCGGTGAGGTAAACTATAGCCAGGATCGGTGCGGTAACAGTCACGGCAGGCAGGAAACAGTCACGGAACACGACTTAATAGCCACGGACCGCTGGGCACGCCAGCGCGGCCAGAAACAGTGCGCAGTCACGACAAGCAGAGTACATGGCAAAGTATGCGGACTACCAGGCCCTGCCGCAAGGCGGGGTCAAGTTCAGGATCAAGCGGCATCGACACAAACAGCTGGGGTGAGGGAGAAGCTGAAACGCCGCTCAACGCCCCAGCCAATATCAAAACGGCCCGAGACTGAAGAACAATGTCCAGCCCGACACCAAGCTCAGGTACACGCGCCGGCCAGCCAAGGCTCCGGCCACCACCCAGCAAAGGACGCCGAGCAGGCCGAGTGACGTCACCATGACGTCACACGTGTGGCAGCAGCCGGCCATATGCCACTAATGGGGAGCGGCCACATCGATCCGCCGCTCATATCCTATCGCAAAATAGACGGCCCTAATGACGACGCTACGGAAAGATTTCCGACTGGCACCGTCCGCAACCCGGCCGCCGAGGCGAGGCCGGCACGTCCGGCACGCGGGATTCCCCGGCCGGCCGGCGGTCTCATCGGGCCCGCCCCTCGGGTCGGCGGTCCCACTGGGCCAGCTCCCCGGGCCGGCATGCCGGCTGTCTGCCAGTCGCCAGCCGGCGTCGCGTACGCAGCACAGGCCCCTTTACGACGACGCCCAGGGCGCCGGGTGTCGGACGGCTCCGGGAAGAGCCGACCGGAAGCCAGCGCTCAGCCTCCTCTCCCCGACTGCAGAGTTTCCTCTTGTAATCTCTGGCATCCTGTCCCAGGGATCCTTTCTATTCACCTCCCTCGTTCCTTCCCTCTATGCCTGCCCTTTCCCACCCCTCAACCTCTCCATCTCTCTCTCAACGTCCAAGCCCCGCAATATCTCTCCTCCTCCCCGCCCCGTCCGTCCGTCCGTCCGTCCGTCCGTCCGTCCGTCCGTCCGTCCCGTCCCGCCCGCCGCACACCCCGTGACTCAGGCTCCTTGTTCGGCTGGCTGGCCGGCCGGCACAAGGCCGAGCAGCGCCGCCTTTCCGGTTACGGGCGGTGCGCCGTTCTAGCGAGGCATGCCGGGCAGCCGTCAGGCCGCCACCGCCGGCGCCCGGCACCGACACAGCGCCGCCCCGTGGCCAATGACCTGGCCCGCCTGGCGCCCCTGCTGTATATTTGTGTTGACGGACAGACCAGCGACCGGCGAACCCGTCCTAGCCGCCGCCGCCGCCGGTGTTTACAACAGATTCAACGTGACTCTACTCGTCGGCACTGCTCTTTTGCGTGTTGCCTCTCTGCCTCTCCCGCTCTCTCCTCCCCTTTTCCCCTGTTCCCTCTCGCACATTCCGAAACATTTGCGCTCTCTCCCACACCCTCCATGTCCTGTTCTACGCTCCCTTCAGCTAGTCCCGTTTTCCATCTCCACCACTATGCCGCATCGCCCTGCAGACCATCCGGTGCGTGTCTGACTGTCGACGCCGCTCCCGTCCCACCGCGGGGCCTGGCCGGGCCGGTGACTCACCTCTACCCAGAGCGGCTCCACGGGCCTCGAGCACTTGGCGTGAATGGCCAGACCGTGCGAGAAGTCGATCACCTCATCCTCGGTGCCGTGTATCACCAACACTGGCGACTTGATCTTCGGCACCTTGTCGATGCTGAAACGGAGCGGCAAGCCGCGGTCAGCACCGGCCGGCGAGCGTGCGCTCAGGCGTCGCTCCCGTTCCGAACGAGGGACGCCCATGGCGCAGTCACTGCAGAACACGAGTATACACATACCTGGCCGGAGTGGTGCGGTGACGCGGGCCTTCTGTGTACGGGACCACTCCCACAAGCCGGGAAGCTCCCGCAATGACGCACATTCCCCACGTTTGTTCCCAGCCTAAGCGAAAGCCAGGGGTTTTCAGCGTCCACTCCCAGCGTGCGCGTTCATTTTGGTCAGGCCGCCAGCCAGCATCCGCCAGACCCGTTGATCTGGGGCGTTGTGGCGGCCGCGCCCCGCGCGCAGGGCCGGGCCGGGCCGGGCGACGGTCGCGTGGCCGGGGCCGGCTGTCGCACCGTTCGGACAGGAATGCCAGCGGACCGAGCCGCCGCTGGCAAACAAAGCGCCGCACCGGTCCCGCCCCGCCGTGCGTCGGCGTCGGCGTCGACGGCGACGCGACGCGGCGGAGTCAGCGGCCGGAACACGGCCCCTGCTCGGTCCAGTCAACCAGACCATCACGCATCACGCGGGCGGGGTCAGCGACCAGAACGGGTCAGAACACGGCCCCTGCTCGGTCTGGTCAACCAGAACATCACGCATCATGCGGGCGGCGAGTCAGCGGCCAGAACACGGCCCCTGCTCGGTCTGGTCAACCAGAACATCACGCATCACGCCGGCGTCGTTTGAGAGTTGTCAACTTCTCTAAACGCCACTTGTTTAGCCGTTCTAATGCGACTAACTTGAGACGTTGCACCGCTTCATTTACAGTCATTTACAGCTATGGGGCACAGCCCGGAACACGGGTACCCACACTGCTGCCATCAACGAATAGACGCTGATCAACAGCGCCACATTGAAGCGATGGATACAACATATGTTCCTTCACCTTTCACAATTAATCTGACTTCGCCCCGTCTTCGGCAACATCGGTCATCGCCCGAACTGCGGTCTGTCAAACAGCCGGCCCGGCCCCGAGCGGGGCGCAGCGTCGACACAGCCGGCCCAGCCCTGAGTGGGGCGCAGTGTCAACACAGCCGGCCCGGCCCTGAGCGGAGCGCAGTGTCGACACGCGGTGTCGAGATGTCTGAAGACGGTGCCGCGACGCGCGCGCCCATCAGCCCGGCTAATCGACTCGGCAATCCAATCAGTCCGGAGCGGCGGGGCTCCATGCAAGTTGGCTCCACTCGCCAGCCGGTGGGAGCGAAATCCCGGCCCGGACGCATCGTTCGAGCGCCGGGCTTTCCGCCGCGCTGGCGACGTGATCCGATTCTGCGCCACACAAACATCGGATCCGGGCGGCGGCGACTGAGAGCTCCGGCTCGGACCGGGACCGGCGGCCGTCCGGCAGTGGACCGCGCCGCCTCGTCCACGCAACACACACACACACACACAGGGGTGAGGTCGGGATCGGCGGCCGTCCGGCAGTGGACCGCGCCGCCTCGTCCACGCAACACACACACACACAGGGCTGAAGCCGGGACCGGCGGCCGTCCGGCAGTGGACCGCGCCGCCTCGTCCACACGACACACACACACACACACAGGGGTGAGGTCGGGATCGGCGGCCGTCCGGCAGTGGACCGCGCCGCCTCGTCCACACGACACACACACACACACACAGGGGTGAGGTCGGGATCGGCGACCGTCCGGCAGTGGACCACGCCGCCCCGTCAACACAACACACGCACAGAGGGCTGATACCGGGACCGGCGGTCGTCCGGCAGTGGACCACGCCGCCCCGTCAGCACAACACACGCACAGAGGGCTGAGACCGGGACCGGCGGCCGTCCGGCAGTGGACCACGCCGCCTCGTCCACACAACACACACGCAGAGGGCTGAGACCAGGACCGGCGGCCGTCCGGCAGTGGACCACGCCGCCTCGTCCACACAACACACACGCAGAGGGCTGAGACCGGGACCGGCGGCCGTCCTCCGCCGACAGTGGACCGCGCCGTCTCGTCCACACAACACACGCACAGAGCGCTGTTACCGGGACCGGCGGCCGTCCTCCGCCGACAGTGGACCGCGCCGTCTCGTCCACACAACACACGCACAGAGGGCTGAGACCGGGACCGGCGGCCGTCCGGCAGTGGACCACGCCGCCCCGTCCACACAACACACGCACAGAGGGCTGAGACCGGGACTGGCGGCCGTCCTCCGCCGACAGTGGACCGCGCCGTCTCGTCCATACGACACGCGCGTGCGTTCAGGAGCTCGCGGCCCGTTCAAGGGGGTGCAGAGCAGGTGCGTCACCGCTCTCCAGCCGACGCCACCCGGGAAGAGGCCCAACAGACTGCGATTGTAACGGCCCGTCACGTTTTCCCCGTCCCGAAATGACACGCCGTGAAGTCTTCAATCCGACGAATGTTTGTCACAGATGGAATCGATTCGTACCCGACAGCGATGGAAAGGTTTCTGCAAGACCAGCATATTGAACGGTTCACAGAAAGCCTGAGTCAAGAGCTCCGGATGATAAACACACCGCCCATTAGTCAGCTCCCGCTGGAGAGGATCAGCGAAAGCTCCCGGTAAAGCAATGACATATGCCAATGGACCATAAGCCCCGGGCGGCCAGTGATACAGCCCTAATAATAAGTACGTCCATATCACTTCAAATTACAACGGAGCCCCTACTCGGCTATGCCAACGCTATAATCGGATCGGATGAAGCCGATCGGCCACAGGGTAAAACATGCCCAAAGGTAGCGCGTCAGAACACGACGCACAAGGTCCGATGCGCCACTCTCTAGTCAGACGGAGCGACAGCGCAACCACGCCGAGAGGAGCGCCGCAGACAACAGGCTCGGCCGACACTCGTCTCTGGCCCACGAAACCACACCGTGCAAAACGGACATCCCGCCCGTCAAATCTCACTGGCCAGCATAGCCCGCTACTCGAGGGGGCGTCTGAACAACGAGGCCCAGAAAGCATCCGAACAACGGGACTCAGAGGGCATCCAAACAGCGGGACCCTGAGAACATCCGAACAACGGGACCCTGAGAACATCCGAACAACGGGACCCTGAGAACATCCGAACAACGGGACCCTGAGAACATCCGAATAATGGGACCCTGAGAACATCCGAACAACGGGACCCTGAGAACATCCGAACAACGGGACCCTGAGAACATCCGAACAACGGGACCCTGAGAACATCCGAACAACGGGACCCTGAGAACATCCGAACAACGGGACCCTGAGAACATCCGAACAATGGGACCCAGAGAGCATCCGAACAACAGGACCCAAAGAGCATCCGAACAGTGGGACCCACAGGGCATCCAAACCACGGGACCCAGAGCATCCGAACAATGTAACCCGGAGAGCATACGAACAACAGGACCCAAAGAGCATCCGAACAGCGGGACCCACAGGGCATCCAAACAACAGGACCCAGAAAGGATCCGAACAGCGGGACCCAGAAAACATCCGGGCAGCGGGACCCAGAGCATCCGAACAGCGGGACCCAGAGGGCATCCGAACAGCGGGACCCAGAGGGTATCCCAACAGCGGGACCCGCACCGACCATCTCCTTTGGACGGGCGATCCAATATGTCTTTTCAAACGAACGACAGCGGCGTCAGATTATGCCAATTCAAAAGCAGACCAATCCCGGCGACGACAATAAGCCGCTGTCCGCGATGTGACGTCACCAGCGCTGCCCATTCGGTCAGTGCCACCTGCCTAGTGCGGCCCGCGGGGCCGGCCGAACAGGCGCCCGACGGGCAGGCCGGACCGGCGCCCAGAGAGCCAGCCGGCCCGGCGCTCGGCGGGCAGGCCGGCCGGCTGCCGGCGGGCGACACTGACCAGACGGAGACGCGCCACGGCTGCGGCGTCGCGGGGCCGCGCAGCTGACAGCGGTCCAGTGGCGCGTGACGTGCGTTACCGGACAGCGACGCGCCAAACACGGTCAGCAAAACGGCCACGATTCGCCAAGTGGCGTTTCTCCACACGTTGGCAGACGGACCCGTCCCTTCGCTGCTCCGTCCTCCGCCCCTTCGGCTGCCGGCCAAGCCGATTTTGGCGGCATATCACCTCTCATAAATGCCCAGCACGACGCAGATAGCACGTAATAACCGCCCTCCCCGTCCCTGAGTGGTCACAATCGCAGGGCGGTGAGCATGCGTTAAGCAGTGACTTGGAAATAGATTTTAAAGGACTTCCAATAACTTCATCGCATTAAGATTATTTCATTTTTCGCTGGTCCAAAAATAGCCTCCGTTTAAGCGCAGTAGCCCCCACAGCCAACATGACGGACAGACCGAGGCGGGCGATCCCAATTTACGTTACTCCCATCACCACTGACCCGGGGGGACTCTCAGGCCGGCACTCCCCACGTCTGCGCCCCCCCCCCCCCCGCCGGCCGCCGGCCGCGGCCGCTTACCTGGGGAAGGCGTCGAAGAACCAGGTGCGCTGCGTCTTGAAGGCAACGCGCATGCCGGACATGAGCGGCGAGTGCAGCACGACGCCGCCGAACTCGTGCCGCGCCGCCAGGTCGACGGTGGGCACGGTGCCGATGCTCTGGCCGTACAAGATGACCGAGTCGGCCGACACGCCGTACCGGCCGTGCAGCGCCTGCCACGCCGCCTCAATGTCGGCGTACAGGTTCTTCTCGGACGGCCGGCCCGTGCTGTCGCCGTAGCCCGAGTAGTCGTAACTGAAGATGTTGCAGTTGATGCGCGAGCCCAGGCCCAGGTAGAAGCTACTCATCTGGCCCAGGTCGACGGCGTTGCCGTGAGAGAACAGGATCGTGTACTTGGCGCTGGGGCAGCACTTGATGTACATGCAGGCGATGCGGTTGCCCTTGCTCGTGCGCGTGTAGAACGCTTCCATGGCCTCCTTCTCCTTGTCGGTGTAGAGCCAGTCGGCGCGCTCGGTGAGAATGATCTTGTGCTTGTTGCCCGTCTCGTCGGCCATCAAGCTGTACGTGGCCTCGGGCGGCAGGAAGGCCAGCTTGGCCGCGATCCGCGACGGGCACGGCGGGCAGCAGAACAGGCAGCATAGCTCGGTCAGGCTCAGCCCGTTCATGGCGGGCCCCGTGGCGCGGAGCTGTCGGCAGCGGTGTTACGTCACAACGCCGCACAGCCACACCCACCCACGCACCCACCCACACACACACAAGCGCGCGCCAGCCGGATCACGAGGCACAGATGACGCAGACGGCGGGCCGCCGGGGCCGGCGTCACGACCTCGGTGGCGGGGGCGGGGGCGGGGCCGGTCCGAGACGACGGCAGCTGTGAGAACGCGACCGCGGCGCCGTGAGAGCGCGCGCCGCACGACCGCGTCCGCCAGCGGGCGGCGCGGCGGCGTGGCGGCGGGCATGACTCACGGCGCGTGACGTCACGGCCTGACGCGCGCTGCCCCCGCGGTCGCCGGCCGACCCTCGACGCGCACTATCGGCGGCGGCGGCGGCGCGGGAGCGAGGTCCAGCACAATAGCCGGTCGCCGGCCATCGTTATCGGCGACGGCGACGCGTGCCGCCGGCCGGCTGCAGGCCACCGGCTGCCCGCGCGGTCCGACCCGGATGGGCAGACCGGCCGGCGCGGCAGCCGGCCGGAGCGGGCCGGCCGCGCGTCCGGAGGGCCTCTCGCGCCAGCTTCCGGTGTGAGCCGACAGCGGGAGTCGGTGTGGTTAGTTGTGCGGCCCGGAGGTCAGAGGCCGAGGTATGAGGCCGAGGTCACGGGCGACAGCACGCCACCCGCTGCTCGCGGCGTTGGCAAACAGGGACGCGAGCTTCGTGTTAGCAGTGTATCCCGCACTTTGGAAATTAACTGCATTCTGTCCGTGATACCTTGATGTAAGGCATGGGAGCACGTGAAATTACCAGCACGTCATGTTGCAGTTCCAGGAAAGTTTATACCAATCAATCACACTCCAGATCAATTTTGTCAAGGAGAACGGATCCTGAGCATAACGACTGAGAAAGTCCTCGAAAAACATGGTCAAGATACCCAAGCAAGAACCAATGGCCGTCTCAAAGCCTTACGTCTCAAGGCATGGAATACATTTCACAAAACTTTGGCGGCTTACTCCTGCTGTCCACTTGACCTTTCGGCCTTCCGCATGACAGCGCCACGCATCAACCTGGCATCACCACCCACATCACATCGGTCACTCCACAGAGGACGCCACGCATCAACCTGGCATCACCACCCACATCACATCGGTCACTCCACAGAGGACGCCACGCGTCAATCTGGCATCACCACCCACATCACATCGGTCACTCCACAGAGGACGCCACGCATCAATCTGGCATCACCACTCACATCACATCGGTCACTCCACAGAGGACGCCACGCATCAATCTGGCATCACCACTCACATCACATCGGTCACTCCACAGAGGACGCCACGCATCAATCTGGCATCACCACTCACATCACATCGGTCACTCCACAGAGGACGCCACGCATCAATCTGGCATCACCACTCACATCACATCGGTCACTCCACAGAGGACGCCACGCATCAATCCGGCATCACCACCCACATCACATCGGTTACTCCACAGAGGACGCCACGCATCAATCTGGCATCACCACTCACATCACATCGGTCACTCCACAGAGGACGCCACGCATCAATCTGGCATCACCACCCACATCACATCGGTCACTCCACAGAGGACGCCACGCATCAATCTGGCATCACCACCCACATCACATCGGTCACTCCACAGAGGACGCCGCGCGGACCATGATCCAGCGGTGACCGGCCGTGTGAACAGATAGCTGGACCGGCGGGCAGCCTCCGCCGCCTGACAGCTGGCGAACACAGCTGGGCCCGGCAGCAGGGAGGCGCCCCCCGGTCAGAGACACGTCACCGGTGCATGGCGCCCCATCCCCGCCCAGAAACGGTGCAAGACGGCCGTCCAGCTCCTCGCCATGCTTTGTTCACTTGCTGGAGTGTCCACAGTGCACCGAAAAAGAGCATTCCTTTCTGCAGCTGACTGCGACATGGAATGCAGGTTACTTGACTGCTTCGAGCCGACTGCCATAATCCTCACTTTTTTGTTCACTGAGGTTTATTGGGCGCGCCGACCGCAAGAAAATATTGCGACTTTCAAAATTCGCGTTGGAATTATATAATTTTGACGCCTCCAGGGAATCCAACTTGAAGCTGTAAACTGATTCAAGCGCGGACCCCGTTCGCAGAACGTAATGCCACAGCGGTCGTTTTCGTTCGGTTCGGTGCCGGTCGTTCGACAGCCAAGACGTTGCGCCGTCGGGACGGCGGCACATCTGGCACCATTGGCTAGGAGGCCCGGCAGCACCGGCGGCGGGGCGGCGACCAGAAAGACATCTGCAGCGGCCACCAAGCCCGGCGCGCCGTCGAGGCCGTGGCTCTGGCGGCGCCGGCCGATGGGCCGCCCACGCACAACCCAATACGCGACAAAGGCGGGAAGGTACCACACCGGCAACAATAAAGTCCCATCGCGCTCTGAGCCGTATTTCTCGGATGTTAATTCCATAACCTTAGACTGTAACGCAGTACAAAGCTGCTGTGCGGAGCAGTCGTGATCCCGGCCCACGTTCTCGACAGTAGAACGGTGGAGTCAGAACGGTCAGAACGGTGGAGTGGTTGATGGCTCGTCCACTCGTTTGACGGTGTGGTAGTGAAGCTTACTGGAATCGAAGGGAGCTGAAGAGGTGGCTGTGCGGTCGGTTCTGTTCACATATCACGCGAGTGGGTGGCGGACATGCATCGCTTTTTGGCCTTGATTCGGCAAGATGTACGAAGACATCAAGCTCCAGCATTTCACCTTTTAACAGGCTTGGCCCCAAACCTTTCATTGGACAAATTTCTGGGATCAGCGCCCATACTAAGTGATGCTTGATGCGTGAACCCCGACACCATCAACCGATCGTGAAATTCCGGGCCAACAGAAGAGTTTTACGGCGGAAGTTTAACGCACCGCAACGCTTGGCGCTGCCCATGCTGTCCTGAGGGAAGGAACCTCAGCCGTTACATGACCTTTACCGCACCGGTCGCAGGCCATGCCAGATATGGTCAAGTGTAGAGCGACGTCTCGTACAGAATCATGTGGCCTTAATTAAACATGTACAAACATCACTGATGTACTCAAGAGTCTACGACGTGAGAGGCAGATCTAGTTGCAGCCAATTTAAACGCATGCCTGGGTGTGCCAGCATTGAATTCTATTGATACAGAGGTTTTTATGTCAAAAACAATGCAGCAATACAATTTTATGCAATGCAACAAAAATGCAATGCAATGTGTGTACTGCAACGCAAAATGCTGCATTCCAAGGTCTCAGCGTCGCGTTGCACCTTTCCCACATGGAAGTCGGCCACAACACCAACATAAAAAAGATAATCAGATTTTGTTAAAATTTTCTGTCCTTCATTCTCAGCATGTTAAGTCATTCTCAAGGTGCGAATGCTTTTCCCCAAAATTTCGTACACAGAAAAACAACCGATATCTCCCTTCACTTGCGTACTTCGTCCCAATCGCTCAGTCACTTAGAACGCCTGTATTCCAAGTAATACATTGGTGGGGAACCGGAGGGTTCCAAACGCCTTGTGCGCCCATCCCTTGGCCCTAGTTGGCACAGACCACGGCCGGCAGCACCGGGTGCGATAAAGGTCAGCTGACGTCAGAGCGTTCTACCCTCAGGGTAGGACGGGCAAGGCTTCCGTTGCGGCACGCCAGGTTTTCGACGTAAAATGCTACCCCTGACCCCGACTTCAATGGTCGAATGGTGGTGTCGGAGGTCACGCAAGTACACCACTTAGCATGGCCACTGATCCCAGAAATCTGCCCAATCTAACTCTAGGACCAAATCTTTAAAAACTTAACTAATGAAAACACCGCACCGATACTTCGGTTCTATTTCGGATGTCTTAACCAATTAGGGGCATATAATGACAGATGCCGGCCACCCACCCGCGTGACAGGCGAACAGTACCGACTGCGCAGCAGCCTGATCACTTGTGATCACTATTTGTCATCAGCTTACTTCGGTTCCGGTCATGCTTATCCATCACGCCGTCGAACGATCGGATTGATAAGACACTCCACCTTCAGACCTGTCTGCTGCCGAGGACTCGCGCCGGCAACAGGACTGTTCCACAAGGCAGCTTTGTACTGCATTGCAGTCTAAGACCCCATGACTGAACTGCAAAAAATAAGGCACACTGGAGGGCCAGGGGACTTTATTACTGCTGCAATTGTACTGCACTGCGGGCCGACACGGCCCGGTGCAATGCTATCCGCTGAGCACACAAGACCCATGTCAAACATCCTCACTAGGGCAAAATGACAGTACCAATGGCCTTGGTCAATAGGATGGGCTAATGTAACACAAACATGTGGGCACAGATTAACAGCCTTTATCATGGCAGCAGCTATATCATGATCTGAAGGTGACTGGGCCCACATACCCAGCACTGCATGCCATATCATAGCCAGTTCCACTTTTGATGAAAACTAGGGTGCTCTGAAGCTTTGTTCAGGAAACCTAACCACTAGTTGCTAGCACAGGTGGCCCAGGTACATGAACTGGTTGAGTTATAATGCGCTAATAGAACTAAATGTAAACATTGCCGTACACTGAATGTAACTATTATTAGTTTTCATCCACACTCTAATGCTTCAAATCCAATACATGAAGTGAAGCAATGCTTAACAACACACTGGTTGGTGTAACTTAAGCTGTATGTCAGAAAATTATTGCACTAAATCATGATCTAAGTCATATTTCATATGATGTCAGGTCATATCATCAGTCACATTTTATATGAACCAAGATGACAACAAGGTTGGAATCAACCTCAATCATATCTCTGTAAGTGGAACATCCATATTATAGCTGGCAGTCATACAAAAATGGGTGCCTTCATGCAAATTATGTCAGTTTCCTGCCCTGCACAAAGTTTGTGGTTTGTTCTTCTGTCAGCAGGGCAAGTTACAAAAAAGAAAAACCTAATGCATGTGGTACATATTGTCACACTTTTTGGTATGACATAAATGGTATGGTACCACCTATGACACAGTATCCTGACTTCATCCAGAGGTTAATAGTCATTAGGTACTTTTTGTTAGTGAGGATAGCTTTTTTCAGGCCAAACAACAATGGGGATCACTACACCAGACATACATAAAAATGACTGCCACATTTCTTTGGGCTTCAGGGGAATGGCTCATGGTGTGGAAGATTGATGGTGTCAAAACCAAATCAAGTTCACCATGCATAATGCAATACCAAATGACCACAGACCAAATATTAGCAACTAACTTACAAGTAATAATACAACCACAATGTGTTGAAAATGTAATTGGTTCTGATCTCACAATGTTTTTGGGGACACCAATAGGCCAGGTGCTAAATTTGGGGTAACAACAAAATATGGCAAGTTTGTAGCATTGCAGTTTTTGCACTTATGTATTCTAGTAGTTATGTCAAGTAAACTCATAAGCTTAAGTGGTTTAGCTAGCTTTGGTATGCTGGTTTCATTGATGCATTCCAAAATATGAATATCTTATGCATATCTAGAACAAGACAGCTACTTCATGATATAGTACTTGACTGCCCCAAAGCCCAAGTCTTTCCCTAAATCTCTGCTCCCATTTGCACCATGGAAGCAAATTCTTTTCACATGTACACATGAACAATCATGCTTCAATAAAATGGCAAGGGATATGCCAGTTGCCACCCATACACTAGGTTATTGATTTTTTTCTCTTTAAACACATACATTCATTATTGTTCAGTGATTCCAAGGTTGGCTTAAGTTTTGAGAAGACAGAAATGCTTCCTCACAAAATCTGCCCAGGTGCTGCAGACTTATGGCATTGACTCTCTTCACAATCCAGCATGCCTGGTGGTTATGAGACACCTGATTTATATGTTTCTGCATTAGCATTTAAAAAGTAACTCAACCAAAATGTGAAAACACAAAACAATGATTACATGCTCTGATACCTCACAAGAAAGTAAGCACTGACGCAAAATTGAATATAATTTACCTCAGTGCACAGTAATAGTTGAACTTGCAGATAACACTGATGTCTACTGGCATTTAAATCTGAAAATTATCTCAGATTGCAAATGTTTTGAAGTCCATGAAGTTGAATTAAGCATGACCAAGCATTGTGTCCTGACAATTAGTAATCCTGGTTGATAGAGAAAGATGCCTGACCACATACTCTAAACAAACTGGGGAAAAAAGGAGCTCCCTAATTCCAGCCACCAACACCCAGATTATAAAAAGCTGAGACATGCACACATAAATTATATCCTAGCTGATAATTTTTCAATGGAAATTCAGTATCCAAAGGGGCATTCTTGGTCCATTATATTAACATGTGTATGCTCATATGAGGATGACTGTCCCTACACAGGATCATCGTACAACAAAGGGTCAATAAAAAACCGTGGTAAAATAGAGGAAAATGAACATACACATGATTGGTAAAAACAAAAACACTTCCATAGCAAGACTAAGATGTCCTCATGTTGCCTCACAAAATGACCAAGAATGAATGAAACTTAATTGCAGTGCATATGTTTCAAAGTGATAAAAATAAAACTTTGCCACCCCAGTGCCCCTTGTCAGGGAAGAAACCATCCATATCAAACTGAGACATAAGATTTTTGGAAGGGAATGATATAAGCACTCTCCATAATCATCAGCAAAATGAACAGACACTCAGAAGTGGTTACAACAGTGAAAAGCCTGGCAAATTTCAAGACAAGATATCACAAGATACTACAACAAAAAATCCTGTTTTATATGTAGACACCAGACAACATGCACAATTCATTGGATATCCAATACATCGATCCATTCTTGCTTACCTTCTGTATCAATGGAATCCCTCATCATTTATGCATTCACAATTTACTTAGACACAATCACAAGGACATCTATTATTTCACAAGAATACTGTCAAAAATGAGCTATCATGACAGAAGCTTAGAAATAACCCTCCACCCTCACCTGTAATGGTCGCAGAAGTATGCGAATCGGGTGATGTTGGGACTAGTTGATGTTGAACCAGAGCAGCTATTTCTTTAAGTTATACTCATTCAATCACACTAAAAATAAGTTCAAAAATTAACTTAAAGCTCAATGATTTCATAAATGAACGTGTTTCACAGGCATTTTGCTCCACGCAGTAACAAAAACAAGAACTGTTACAAAGAAGTTGACCTAGGCACGACAAATTCAGACTCCTTCCATTGGTGACTTTGTGTGGACGTATTTTTGCGACAACTCCAGCGCAGTTGTGGATTGCCTGGGGGTATTGTTATTATTGTAATTAACTAAAGGAATTTCGTGCTAGAATTGGTTTGAAATTTAGGGAAAAGGCCACCGATTTCATGGAGTGAAAATATGGAGGCAGGATAATTTTCTTGCGTCTAAATTAAACACCTCAGCCCGTAGGTAACACACGATGTCTGAAAAAGCATACAATAAGCCACTCCTTACCCCTTGCAAACATGCGTATATTTCAGTGTCATATCTTAAATTGAATACTTAAGTGTAGTTTGCTATGCTTAACTTTATTGACTCAAAATAATAACCATTTCATTGAAAATAAAATTAGGTTCACTGAGACAGAAACAGCGCAGCTGTTACATTGTCAGTGATTAGCACCGAAGCCGGGACTGGCAATTGGTCCTGCGCTTTTAGATAATTTTGATTATGTTGTACATTATATTCGGGCTCGGTGGGAGGGTCAAACTGTTTGTTCGGTAATTGGTAAGTTGAGCCGTTCACGATATCCCAGCCGGCTTCCCAAGTTCAAATCAGCACCTCATCAACGTAGACAGATTCCTTGCAAAGCTTTGAAGCACTCACCTAGACCCGGATCAAACTGCATAAAATACACGTTACGTCGGAGATCTTCGGCCTAGCAGCCAAACTGCAGCAAAATTTTCAGGGCATGTATGTGTCAATCCAAGCTCTGAGAGTTTGGCATGGCCACCACCAATTTGAGCCCATGAAGAGCCAGTAATCATGGAAGTTTTGATGCTGCAAAGCCAAGCTAGGTTCAAATGATCTGGAAATATTTTTCAGTGAAAATTGTAAAGAAATTCTCATCAGTTGGCCTTTCATGAGTTTTGATGCATGCAAGCACAAGGTTTAATGCACCAATGTTGTATGGATATTTGGGTAGATGGATATTCAGAGTAGATGCATTTTTGTAGACTGAATTTTGTCTCTTTTGGTTTTGTAGACATTGATTTTAATCAGTGATTTAAAAAATAACATGGCACACATCATCACACTTTTTAAGGAGTGACTGCATTGCCACATAAGCCCCAGGTGCTGTGGTGCAGCTGGGATTTGAATCCCCATGGTAGAGATTGACGTGCTGACCACCCATCCGTTACACCCATTTTCTATAGACTGTTAGTGTTGACTTGTTGAGCTGCAATAAGATCTGTTAATGTGAATTGAATAATAATATAGCTGGCCACTAGCAAGATCATATGTCTGTATTCATGTTCTGAATAGCTGCTAAACAGAATGGCCATGGTTCTCATCACTTTCATACTTAAAATAATTTATGCTGAAAGGGCTTACAGTGAAGTATTTTAATGATGATAAAACAGGTATAACTTGGAAAGTTTTTAATGCACTTTCATAAATATAATATGCTGGTAAATGAGGCTGCATGCAGTGCCAGAACAATGCACTGGGTTTAAAAGATGTTTCAGACATTTGAAGTATTTATATCAGTAAGCTTTAAATAGAACAAGCATAGGGGACATCTTTTATTTTGCTATTGAGGATCTTGCTATGAGCACAGATAATATGCATAGTAAGCAATAAAGTCATCAGTTTGTCAGCATGTCAGTGATCATCAGTGATATGCATGAACTGGAGCAAACTTCTTGTTTACAGTGTACCCAAAATTGGCAAATTGAGAGAGGCCTTATTGTAATGATGCAGTCAATTTTCCATGCCAGTATCTGATTTATATTCTAGCTTTTTAAACTGGAAGATACTAGCCTCTTTCCACTACAGGGCACCCACAATAGACATAAACAGTCATACAGCCACAACCTTGGCATGGAGGGCAAAGGGTTGACAAAAGGCCCCCTGATAGTGAAGAGGCCTCCCCCCAAAAATCACCAGGTGTGGCCCATTTGTTAAACAGGACACAGAGGCAATGAGAGCATTAATACTTTTCATTTATTCCTTCTATAACTGGAATAGAAGCCAGTAGCTAACACAAAATAAATTGTGATTCAATTTTATAGTCAATAAACTGAAGGAATCACACATTGACTAGCAAGAAATGAATCACCATCACTCTACATTTTACAATGGTCCAGTGGACTCTTTATAGCTCAAAAGCTCCATCATAATTTTGGTCTGGGTTCTGCAGAGATCTTAGGAATCTCACACATGTGTTGTACACAACCAAATCTGTCAACACTCTGCATGAACTTGGCCAAGCCATGTTTGTCTGGAAGGTTCAACATTCAGCCAGAATCAGTTAGTGATACAGACAATGGATGTAGTTTTGAACATGCGCATCCACAAATCTTATTAACAAAAACCTCGACTCTAGGCGTTGCAGTCTCCATAGGCCGCGCAGTGTCAGCCTCGTGATAACACCGAGTTGTGACCAACGAGTGGACGCATCTGTAATAAGTACATTTGGATACTTGATGGTATCAAATAGTGCATTTAGAAGCTAGTCCAGGCGCATTTCCACCGGTGCGATTTTTCGATTAATTTTAAGATAAGGTTGGAATTTACAGCACCGCGACGTGGTGCTAGCTTGAATCTGGTGGTGGAATTTGAAGGGCAAAGGAATAATCTCTATTTTTCATGTTGCTGTAACAGTTCATCCAGTCCAGATGGCAGCCTCAAAGGTACATGGATGCCCTCAAAGGATCATGGGTACCTGATCAGCGCGAGGCCCACTGGATGGCATTGAAGTGCCGGGCATGCAGGGCCGGACCCCTGCGTAGTCCCAAGGGTCAGGTGCGTAGTCAGACCCTTAATCGTAGGTCCCAAGGGGTTAAGTACCCCCTGAGCCCCCCCCCCCCCCCCCCCCCCGCCTGCCCGCGCTATTGGACATAAGCGACATGCAGTGAAAAGGTGAAATCCTTCTTCCGCCAAAGCTAACCTAAGCATGTGGGACATAACACAACCACTGCCACAGGAATGCAAGTTCTACATACAGAACATTGCCATAGATGGCTGAGGTAGTAGCAAGGTGCACAGGGGACATGCTCTTACATGCATAAGGCAGTGGAGAGGGCAGGGCCCGCCCCTGGCAGCATGGGTGCAACATCTCAGCCTGCTTCTACAAAGTGTCCTTTCTGCTTGCCAGTGTATGCAGGATCTGTAAGGACTTGGATTTGAGATCTGGCTTCCCTTGTCTTTGAATCACATGCCCGTCCATATCCTGTTTGAGGTTTTAATGTGAGAAGGGAAAGCAATAGAAGTAAGTCTTTTGTTAGTGCTGTTTTGTGCATCTCAGCAGTCCTTACACTCCTGTTGTGAACGTGATCATGAGTTTCTGCCCACAGCAATCCTGGCCCTATCCACCTTTCCTGCCCCTCCCGCTATCACTCATGTGCTGGCAGGGCTCTTTCCCGTTCCTACCTCTATCACTCACACGCTCGCGGGACTCGTCGTTGGCACGGCCGGGGGCAGGGCGGGTGCCGAATCCCGACATGCTTGATCTGCATGTGTGAGTCAACAATCTGGCTCAGTATCGCGGACAATGCTGTTCATCTTTGCTGCGCTGTCCGCGCGGCGCAGATCTGACCCTAGCTGACCTGCAGCCTAAGCCTAGCGCGCCTACGCTGACCGGGTGGGCAGAACGGACGGCAGTTAGCATAATACGGCGACGCACGTGCTCTCTCGCGACGCTTACAGCTGGCAGATGATGGACACTAACGTTGCGGGGAGCAGGGCGCGGATCGCTCGCAGTGTGTGACCCGGAGGTGCACTACGAGACCGATGAGCGTTGCCGTCATCTTGGTGCTGTTTGCGTAGCGACGAACTGTTCGAGCGATAGCTCGTGTACTTCCTCCACCGCCGTGTGCGGATAGGTCGCACCGAATCACGAGGCAGCTCGGAGAACTGGGTCATTTCCGTCGACATCGTCAGATGCGAAAGTTTCTTCCAGAGAATATCAATCAATATTTTGGGTGGAGGTCTGGACCAGCTACCTTGCCACCCCTGACAAATTTGATTTCTTGGTCTTTAATTCTGAAAAACATTCGTTTTCAGTTTGTAATATTTACGGCCCTTTGGTGATCTGGATCAGATATCGAGTGAACTGAAATAAACATTAAGGAGTCAAGACCCCACCCCCAAAGATATGCGAAGCTTCACCCACAGCTAGTCATATTAGCCAAATTCCAGGAGACCAAGGGTGAACGTGTTATCAGTGGAGAGCGTGCAATTGTGCCTGTGAGTCCACATTCTATTTTACTTGCATTAATTTTACTGCATAAAGTCCCTTAAACAATGACATTTAGAAGGTACTTTGAAGCACAAATCTGGTAGGCTGAATTCTGGTGCGCTAAGGCAATATTCCGATGTCCCCCAGGATGTGACGACATCTGATCCCTGCTTGCAGTTGTGTTTTTGAAGACCGCGGACGGTGATGTATTCTGTCACCCTTGCAGGCGTGAGTGCGCTGCGCTGCGCGGTGGGCGGCAATGCTGCGTCCGCTGCGAGCTTGCGCCGCGCTCACCCAGAGGGCCCGGACGCTGCCGCTGTGGCCGCGGGAGTGGGTCGGCGGCGGCGCGTCCTACTGTCGGCTCCGGCACAGCAGACTCTGTCTGCAGCTGCTGCGCCCAGCTGCCAGGCACATCTGCTGGTGAGGGGATGCTTGGCCATGAATTGTGTGCTGTGCTACCTTTAGATGGTCACCATGCTGTCGGCCTGTACCCACGTGCTTGCCCGAGTCTCGCTTTGTTTCAGCACGCGCCCGCACCTCTGATGGACGTCCACTCGTCATTGTCCAGGCCCAGCCCTGTGGTATCCCTGACTGGCCGCCTGTCGGTGACCCGTGACCTTGCCCTAATGGCTTGGCCGCTGTGTAGTCAGCCCTGTGGCACCCCGAACTGGCCGCCTGTCGGTGACCCGTGACCCACCCCGCTGACCTGGCTGCCGTGCGGTCAGCCCTGTGATGCCCCTGACTGTTGGTGACCCGTGACCCCACCCGCTGACCTGGCCGCCGTATGGTCAGCCCTGTGGCACCCCGAACTGGCCGCCTGTCGGTGACCCGTGACCCACTCCGCTGACCTGGCTGCCGTGCGGTCAGCCCTGTGATGCCCCTGACTTTCGGTGACCCGTGACCCCACCCGCTGACCTGGCCGCCGTATGGTCAGCCCTGTGGCACCCCGAACTGGCCGCCTGTCGGTGACCCGTGACCCACCCCGCTGACCTGGCTGCCGTGCGGTCAGCCCCGTGATGCCCCTGACTGTTGGTGACCCGTGACCCCACCCCGCTGACCTGGCCGCCGTATGGTCAGCCCCGTGGCACCCCGAACTGGCCGCCTGTCGGTGATCCGTGACCCACCCCGCTGACCTGGCTGCCGTGCGGTCAGCCCTGTGATGCCCCTGACTTTCGGTGACCCGTGACCTCGCCCCGCTGACCTGGCTGCCGTGTGGTCGACCCTGTGGCCTGTGGTCGGCCCTGTGGCACTCCTGACTCGGTGACCTGTAACCCCGCCCCGCTGACCTGGCTACCGTGTGGTCGGCCCTGTGGCCTGTGGTCGGCCCTGTGGCACTCCTGACTCAGTGACCCGTGACCCCGCCCCGCTGACCTGGCTACCGTGTGGTCGGCCCTGTGGCCTGTGGTCGGCCCTGTGGCACTCCTGACTCAGTGACCTGTAACCCCGCCCCGCTGACCTGGCCGCCGTGTAGTCGGCCATGTGGCGCCCCTGACTGTCGGTGACTCGTGACCCCGCACCGGTGACCTGACCACCCTGTGGTTGGTCTTGCGGTACCCCTGACTGTCGGTGACCCGTGACCCCGCACCGCTGACCTGGCCACTTTGTGGTCGGCCCTGTGGTACCCCTGACTGTCGGTGACCCGTGACCCCGCACCGCTGACCTGGCCACTTTGTGGTCGGCCCTGTGGTACCCCTGACTGTCGGTGACCCGTGACCCCGCACCGCTGACCTGGCCACCCTGTGGTCGGCCCTGTGGTACCCCTGACTGTCGGTGGCCCGTGACTCCACCGTACTGACCTGGCCGCCCTGCGGTCGGCCCACAGCGCAGCCCGGCTACGCCAGCGGACCGATGCGCCGGCCACCGACGCCAGCGCCTTGACGACGCTACGCGACCGGCTGGGCTTCGGCAGCGACGTCGAGCTGCGCCTCTTCTGGCGGCGCACCGGCTGCCGGCTGGACGAGCCGCGCGCCGCCTGCAGCCTACTGGTGCTGGGCACGCTCGAGCGTGAAGGCATCGGGCGGGAGCAGGTGCGCCGCTTCCCCGGTCTGCTGCGGATCACTCCAGGTGAGGGGCGCCGCTTCCCCGGCCTGCTGCGGATCACTCCAGGTGAGGGGCGGGCCGGAGCAGGTGCGCCGCTTCCCCGGTCTGCTGCGGATCACTCCAGGTGAGGGGCGGGCCGGAGCAGGTGCGCCGCTTCCCCGGCCTGCTGCGGATCACTTCAGGTTAGGGGCGCCGCTTTCCCGGCCTGCTGCGGATCACTCCAGGTGAGGGGCGCCGGCGAACGCCGGTCGCCCAATCGGGTTGGGTACTAGACATGTATCATGGTGCTTTTATGTCGTATCGTCGTGTCGTCGTGTACATGACCCGTTCCAATTATATTCATGTGGAACGCGCCCGCCCTTCCTGCCAGGGTGATAGGCAGGCGACGCCATATAGCCTCAGCAGCTTAGCGCGTCGTAAAGCCCCAATGACACACACACACACACATGTAGAACGCGCTGTTGGAAACGATATTTTACGGTCACTGGGTGCGAGCTGTCCGCCACCTGGCGAGAGTTGCTAGAAACTGAAATAAAAATGCCCAACCCTGGTATTTACATGCGTTGCCTTTATTTCCATTTTGAATTCAAGATATCACTCACCTGCGTCGAAATGACCTGTTTGTTTTCATCAGCCCATCTGGGGCGTGCTGGCGCCGTGACCGGCCTGCATCCATTGTGACTGACTAGTGCGTGGTCTCATTGTGACTGGCGGTGTTCCCATCTTGACCACCCGTGCTCCGCCGCGGATTGCCTGTGCTCCGGTGCGGTCTTGAGTATTCTGTGCTCCGTGTGCTCCACGTCTCCGAGCCTAATATCGGCATGCTTTTGCCATGACCTGCACGTGCCCATCATGACCTGCCCATGCCAGCCGTGCCCTGCCCGTGCCCGCCGTGACCTGTCCGTGGCGCCGCCGTGACCTGCTCGCGCCCGCCGTGACCTGTCTGTGGCGCCGCCGTGACCTGCCCGCGCCCGCCGTGACCTGTCTGTGGCGGCCGTGACCTGCCCGCGCCTGCCGTGACCTGCCTGTGCCCGCCGTGATCTGCCCGTGCCCGCCGTGACCTGCCTGTGGCGGCCAGGTCGCCTGGAGACGAACCTGTCAGCGGTGCGTCGTCTGCCGGCGGCACTGCAGGACGTGTTCCCGCTGCTGGCGCTGCGGCCGGGCGTGCTAGCGGCGGGTGTGGACGCCATCTGCGCCGACCGGGGCCTGCTGCCGGACGCCGCCTCTCGCCTGGACTACCTGGCCGCCCAGCTGGGGGTGAGCGCACGGACGCCGAGGCGCGCGCCCGCTATTAAGGGCTAGACGCCAAGCACAGGCGTTTGGTGGCAGCGTTGGATGGTTTGGCCTTAAGTCAGGCACCCAGCACTGATCACCAAGCCTGCTTAACGCACGGGCATAAGGAATTGATGGGAGCTGCTGGTGGAGCATCGTAACGCTGAAAATGAATTGTTTACATGATGTTCACGTTTGTGTGTCCACACATGAATATGAAGGATGTTTCCCGTCTTGCGCCTAACATCCATTTAATCCACTTTCGAACGAACCTCCACCTGATATCATGTATCACCACGGGCTGTAGCAGCCTGCGTGTGACAGCGCCGTAGACTGTTGCCGTGGTGCTGTCAGGTGGGCCTGGACCGGCTGTGTCCGGCGCTGGTGACGAACACCTCGATCCTGACGGGGCGGCTGGAGAGGGTCGTCGAGATCACCCGGCTGCTCCTAGGTGTGGCCCACGGTCGTGCCGTACTTCAGGTGCCGGCTGACCAGTGCTGGCTGCTGGCTGCGGACACGTCGTGGTCGGCACGGCAGATGACTCGTTCATCAGTGGTTGTGCGCACTTATAAGGGCGTAGTCTTGCGTTTTCGGGAAGAGATTCGCCTGTTCTTCGAACTGTGCCATTTTTTTCTCCAACCGCTGAAGATAGACTTGTGCGCTCCATAGATAGCGTTGAACTATGTGGATAACCGAAGGTTAACGCTATGCTGAAACGTCCGGTGGAACCGAAACTGCAGGGCGTCCTGCCGTACGTCCCTAATCCGGCTGACATCAGTCAGTAGTCTCAGCCGCGGCGGGTGCTGACCGGCGCCCCCTCCCTCCATCTCAGACGGCGGCATCTTGCCGGAGGCCATCCTGGACGATCCCTGGATCTACAAGCACAACATCGACGTGATGCGGCAGCGACTGGAGTGGCTGAACGGCGTGCAGCTGCGCCCCATCCGGCCCTGGATGCTCCGCAGTCCCGAGCACTTGGTCCGGGAGTAAGTGCTGGGCGGGGGCGTGGCCCGCGGCTCTGTCCCGGTGGTCACGCCCGCGGGCGGGCCGAAATTTGGTTGCCTGGTGTTCAGGGGCTGATTGTTGGCGACATCTGACGGCTCGAGGGATGGGCAGATTTGAGCTGAGTGGCAGGTCATCTGACGGCTCGAGGGATGGGCAGATGGGGCTGAGTGGCAGGTCATCTGACGGCTCGAGGGATGGGCGGATTTGGGCTGAGTGGCAGGTCATCTGACGGCTCGAGGGATGGGCAGATTTGGGCTGAGTGGCAGGTCATCTGACGGCTCGAGGGATGGGCAGATGGGGGCTGAGTGGCAGGTCATCTGACGGCTGGAGGGATGGGCAGATTTGGGCTGAGTGGCAGGTCATCTGACGGCTGGAGGGATGGGCAGATTTGGGCTGAGTGGCAGGTCATCTGACGGCTCGAGGGATGGGCAGATTTGGGCTGAGTGGCAGGTCATCTGACGGCTCGAGGGATGGGCAGATGGGGGCTGAGTGGCAGGTCATCTGACGGCTGGAGGGATGGGCAGATTTGGGCTGAGTGGCAGGTCATCTGACGGCTCGAGGGATGGGCAGATTTGGGCTGAGTGGCAGGTCATCTGACGGCTCGAGGGATGGGCAGATTTGGGCTGAGTGGCAGGTCATCTGACGGCTCGAGGGATGGGCAGATTTGGGCTGAGTGGCAGGTCATCTGACGGCTCGAGGGATGGGCAGATTTAGGCTGAGTGGCAGGTCATCTGACGGCTCGAGGGATGGGCAGATGGGGGCTGAGTGGCAGGTCATCTGACGGCTCGAGGGATGGGCAGATTTGGGCTGAGTGGCAGGTCATCTGACGGCTCGAGGGATGGGCAGATGGGGGCTGAGTGGCAGGTCATCTGACGGCTCGAGGGATGGGCAGATTTAGGCTGAGTGGCAGGTGATCTGACGGCTCGAGGGATGGGCAGATTTAGGCTGAGTGGCAGGTCATCTGACGGCTCGAGGGATGGGCAGATGGGGGCTGAGTGGCAGGTCATCTGACGGCTCGAGGGATGGGCAGATTTGGGCTGAGTGGCAGGTGAAGTGGCCGTGTCTGGAGGCTATGAGCGATCAGGGGCGAGTTTGCGACCGGGATTGGCATGGGGTGGCTCCACCCACCGGCCTTAGAGATAGACCGCCGAAGCCGGCGGGTAGTAGGCACAAAGCGGCGATTGTGGGAGAGGTTGGCCGCCGAAGCAGGCGGGTAGTAGGCAGACAACAGCGACTGCGAGGCTTGAGTCTTGGGCTGTGTTCTGGCTGAATAACGTTTCCAGAACGATCAGCGGTGTGCTACTGGTGGCTCCAAATGAATAGCCGTTTTTAAAACGCCACAGGGCGAGTGGACGAAAAGTGCTGAGCAGGTGGCCAGTTTGCAAAAATAACAATTTCGGGGTCTTTTAAACCAATTTTCTACCTGCCCACGAGAGACCTTTGAACCTTCTGCTCAAGGTTGTTGCATATGCCACTTTAACAGACCTAAATGGTTGTAGCAAACTTGGCGGTAGGACAAAACCCATTTTCACGTACGCAGTGGAGTCAACTCCCATAACTATTGCCCCTGTTGAGCACAACCGCCCACCTCTGCATGGTCAGCGCACACATTGGTGTGCCGTCGACTCGAGTTTTTCATTGGCCTTTTCCGGCTCAACGCCAACGCTGGCAGTGTTACTGTCACCTGACAATGGCGTGAGCTCGTCCTCACGAAGGCTGAGGAAGACTGGAGGTGGTCGCAGGTGGCGCTGACAATGCCTGGTTCCAATAGTGCGGTGCTGTACGACGCGCCGCTTCCGAAACTGCGGAACGGTCCAGGAACCACTTTGGACCTGGACTGATCGCCCGGGGGCACCGAACACCGCCGCGGATCCGTGCTCCGCGGACCGCGGACGCGTCGGCCTGTTCCTCTAAGGCTTCATTAGAAACAGGGCGTGCATACAAGGCCCCCTTAACACAAGTATTGGAGGAGGCGGGGTGGTGATCGGCACAAATCTGATGTCAGGTGCCACCCGGCGTGGCGACCAGCTGGCGAGCGCGATGGCCGAGCGTACCACGGGCGAGCGCGTCCACTTGTCAACGATCACATTTCATTGATGATTGTTTGATGCTTTCGTTCGCGTTCGAAGAACTGCAATGTAGACAATGGCTTGATAACTCGTGACCTCTTGGAAATGGTATGGTTTGCAAAAAAAGTATGTTTAGATCGTCATGGGTTACTTGACCACTTTCCGGCGAAACTACTTGCGATCTCAAAGCTTAACTTCATGAAGTCATACCCATTTTCTGGTCTTCAATGGACGTCATTCATTCAGTGGTGACATCACCCGACTGCGTTTTTATGATGGCCGCCATTGTTTCGCCACCTGTCCTGTGACGCCACCAGTCCCCGTCCGGTGGGCCGGCAGGCTCGTCAATCGGTTCCAGCTGCGCAAGTCCATCCTCTCCGAGCACGACGGCGACCTGGTGGCCTACCTGAGCGAGCGGCTGGGTCTGACGCGCGACCAGGTGGCCGCCTTCGAACGCCGCTACCCGGCCGCGCTGCGCGTCGACGTCATCAAACTGAAGGCGGTGCTGGACGAGCTGCTGGCGCAGGGCATCAGCGGCGCGTTGGTGGACGACCAGCCGCGCATCCTCTGCTACAGCGTGCGCCGCATCCGGGAGCGGTGTGGGCGCATGCGGGACGCCGGTGTGCCCGTCACCACGCTGCTGGTCATCTGCAAGACGCCGCGCGACTTCGAGCAGTACATAGCGGCGGCGAGCGGCGCCGCGAAACGACGGCCGGCGCCGCCAGAGCGGACGGCGGCGGACGGAGAGGACCGGACGGCGGCGGGGGGACCCGAGCGGTAGCCGCGCGGCGGGGACGGAGGAGAGAGGGGGAGGGGGGGGCGAACCGGACGTTCAGTGGATGCCATTGCCGGCTGTCGTTGGGACGAGAACGGGGGCGGTGTGCTGGGACGCTGTGTCGGCACACGCCGCAGGGGGGGTGTCCAGACGCGCTGTGACTCCGTGCCTCTACCCGGTCTGCCCACGCGATAAACACATGGTTCTGGCTTTGAGGACTGCGGAGTGGAAGTGGATCAACTGCGCAATAGGATGTCAGACGCAGTGTGTTTGATACACGGTATTGTGAGCACGGGTTCGATTTGAAGCCGATGATAGACCGGCCGCTGCTATCCAGAACACGCAATTAACGCTGTGGCTATGGAGAAAAGTCTTTTATATCACTGTACTGATCAGAAATAAATCGTGAGATTATTCGATGACACACCAATAGAAACATGAAATCATTGTTTTAGGAGGTTACCACCTAGCGTAATCCTTCACATCTATTCATATTAAAAAATCGAAATAATTTCCTAGGTCTTTGTTTGCAATGACCGTCAAACAAGGTTACTTACTTAAAATGAGCACCAGTGATCGCTTCCTTAGGGCAAATATCTAGGTTCGAGGTGATTCCATGAGCAGGTCTGGGAGCACTTTGAACGCCACCATAGAGCCTGCGATTGTTTAGCCTTCTTTGACGAAAAGGTAATCACCAGGAAGCCTTAAATTTTGACATTGAGATCTCAGGAAGGGGTGGGGGGCGATTGACCCCGTTACCTAAGCGCGTCGTACTGAACGGGCCACCCGGACGCGTGTTTAGTAACAATGGATCATTGCTATTTTTCTGCTTTTACCGGGAAGAATGACTGGCGTGCTTTAGTTCCGAAGACATTCTGTTTCGCTTTGCTGCAACTTTTATTACATTGATATGAATGGTATCCTTAGTGATCCCGTCACGCGTAACAATTCAGACTAAGGACACGTCCATGATAATATTCATGGGGAACCCGTGGAGGGTTGCAACAAGATGCAGGAGTATTATTTGTGCAAATATGTCACTACTTGACCAATGCCTACGAACTCGGGTGAACGTACTTATGTGAACGTAACTTTATCCGTTACGAAACTTTGTAAACGTACAATTGCTGGCGGACATTTGCGTGCATGACATGCACATGCATTTGCATGCATATACACACGCTGAACATAAATATTTTTCCAAACAAGCTTTCCTCTTGAAAAACTTTTGGTAGTACAAAGATTTTACAGACGTACTTCATATTAACCGATTTTTTTCGAGCACGAATATTTGCTTGCGAAATTGTGATCGATGAGTATTGGGTACGTATTTCAGTCAGGCGAAATTAATACCTTACGTACATCTGTTGGCGAACAATTGCATGTGTCCTTCATGCAAACGTGCTTCTTCCATATAATTTTTGTTCTTAAAGCAATGTTTAGAGTGAGATACTGGTCAAAATAAACCCTTGACTTAAAAACATTATCTTTGCCTCACTTGCAAGGAGGATTGACTCGAGCGAGGTCGTCACTAGTATAGCTATCACACAGGCAGTTCGAAATTCGCTGCAACTGGTGACCAACCGAGTCTTTAGAAGAACGTTTGAAAAATAAAGCGGCCAGCGATTTTCCATTTATTGGATATTGATTTAAGCAGGAAGGGATTTTAGCTCCTCGTTTTTTGGTATGAGGAGGTGGGAGTTCTCCTATTGAAAATAACCGACCTTCAGAATGCCGCAAGGCGCTGGTTAACTGGTGGAATCAAGCACAAAATTATGTTAGCTTGAGAAAACTCGACGGTCCAAAGGTGCGCTGGTAACCACATCTTGTCAGAAATATCAATCAGCACCATTCCAGTATTTCTTTCACTACGGAAAGCACCGCACAACATGTGTCGATTTCACGCCTTGAAACAATCTTTGTGGGAGGGCAAGGTGAAAGGTTTGCCATGTAAATGTGGTTAAGCCCATGACCGCCCAATCACACCGCATCACAACCCGGCCCACCCCACAACTACCGATTATGCAGTCGTTTTTGCCGAAGCTAACATTCTACATAACGGGCGCAGCCGAAATTTTCGTAAGGGAGAAGACCGGATCGCATGATAACACATCAAGCCGGTTTTACCTCACGTCAGGAGCCACCTACAGCACTAAAAGAGGGAGGGCGGGCGCCGGTCTCCCTTTGCTGCTCATTTCACACCGATTCTCATGTAGAATCTACAAGAGGGTCGGCAGAGAACATCACGGGCTACACAAAAAAGGTAGTCGCTTATGTTGCAGTTCAAAATATTGTTCAACTACGATATGTGTTTGTCGTGACTTAAGCAGTCACCCGTTTTATTCGAAGTAGGGACGCCCCCCACACCCACCCGGCCACCCACCCACCCACAGACACACCCACACCCACCCACACACGCACCCACACCCACACCCACACCCACACACCCACACCCACACCCACCCACACACACACCCACACCCACATATATATATATATATATATATATATATATATATATATATATATATAACATAAATTGCTCCTAACTTTGTTTTCAGGCCAGAATAACTCTTGATTGTTCTCCAAGACGTCCTCAGAACACTGGCCCTGTAAATCAGTACCGCACCAAATCCAAACGGAATCGCGGACCTCCACCCCGCCGCTGACTCTAATCCGTTCCCTCGCAGCACTGGTCTCCTCTGAAGGACATCTGGTAACCATGCCTAGTTGCCGACGGCCCACCGCTCATTACCCGATGAGCCATCACCGGTATAAACAAGGTCGCTCGTCACTCTCCTGATCATATCGGATCTGTCCAGCCGCGGCCGCACAGCTAGAAGGGTGTCACCCGCTTGGGACGCCCACACGCCTCGTCACTGGGTGCCCGTCTGCCGCGACCGCCCACCCGGGCCCAGTCCAGCGTTTACATAGCGCCTTAGAAATGCTGCCAGATTGACATGAAATTCGATAAGCCAAGCACGCGCGCTGACTAGCGTTCGCGTGTATTGAATGGGATGATGGTATTTTCAAAGAACGCGAAGTTTCGGCTTACACATAGTGTCTCCAGATGTATTTGATTGATATCATGCTTCTGACAACAGTTCAGCTCATCACGGACATCCACGATCGAATAAACGCACCGCAAGCGCTCAGCCGCCGCCCGCACTGCGTGACGTCATTAAGGTTCAAGGCTTGGAAATAGTTCTGCGCTAGGCTAGAAGGTAACATGGCGGAAAATAAGCCACATTCAGCCTAGATTCGGTCCAGACGAGAGTCGGCAGCCTATGTCAGTATCACTCTTAGCAGGGTAATGATAAGCCAGTTTCATCATGTCAAACTTTATCCAAAATATCGTAGACGAGGTCATGACCCTGGGCCTTCCACCGGTATGAGCTTGGCGAAACCGATGTCAAGTTTAGACTCGCGAGCTCAAAAATGTACGCTTCTCAGTATGGGTACCCGTCAGCGAAAATCATTATACGAATACAAATAAACGCTTTTGTAGCTTTTGGCGCAATAAATCGTACCACAGAAATAGCCTATCAGAGGACGTGATTTGTCCATCAAGTTAACCTTCCGGGAGGGCAAAGAGCATAGTCTCCCCAAGTCTTCTTTACTAAAACTTACAAAATTCACTCTTTCGGCAGACACACACTGTCAAGGTGAGTTTTCAAAGCTATATTTTATGGTGAGCGATATAATTTACTTGGAAGCATAATAAGAATGCGTTAAGTGGGACGCGTATGGGGACACTTCGTTGTGAGTCGATAATGTTCCATAATTACGAGTTCACACACTTAATGATTCACCATAAGATTTAGATTTCAAAACCCGCCTGAAGCTGGCATGTCTGCCTGAATAAGGTTAATTTACGGACTATAAGCTGTATGTTATCCCAGTTTTAGACTGCAGTCAAGAGTGTATGACATAAAAATGAGAGTGGTGTTATCAAAACGCAAACCCAAGGAAGGCCCAGTGCCGAACACTCGCGTACGATTTTTTTTAGATCAAGTTTGACATCATAAGACTGTGGTTTTTAATTAGCCTGCATTCGTTCGGCTATGAGTCTCAACCAGCACTCTGTCATACATATCAGCATCAACATCAGTATCAGAGTCGACAGCAGAGCACAAGTGATATACAGGAGCTCATTCCATTTACGGATGACCATCGCCGATAGGAAAACAATTGGCCATGCGCCTGACCGTCCGAAAACTCTCTTTGACCAAAAGGGAACAGTGCGCAGCAAAACCACTCATAATGAGCAGCAGGAAAGTCACAGCAGATCATAAAAGTCGAGTCTGGCAGGAAGTCTCCACAATTTTCTTGTAAAATTGGGCACTCGAACCATGGACCAATGCCAACCAACCTAACTTATTATTTGGGTCTTCAAATCTACGGAGTCAGAACCTCAGGAAACATACAAAACGAGTTTTGTCGCTCAAATAATGAAGCGCATGTCTGAGCTGCGCATCCGCTGAAAACACTGGTTACCCCAAACGCAACCGTGGAAAACGACGTAAGGGCTACGTGAAAATCATACGAGATCGGAAAGAGTACTCTACGGGGTCACTTCTATGTTTCTATAAATTTCCGTCCAGAATTATCGACCGATGCTTATTAACATAGATCGATATCAATGGTTCGTATGGCTTCTTCAGCCAGGTTGATGAGAATCGATTGCTGGTCTGATGTGCCAAATGACAAGACAATCGCAATGGGCCCCAAAGGCATGATATCTTTAACGTCTATGGCTCTCCCGTTGCTTTTTATGGATGCATTTCGGTAAATGAGTGCTTTCACTTATTATCCAACTAAGCCAGGTTTGTTGCCTATGGAGGGGGGGGGGGGAGGGGGCGAGGGTGGTCAGTGAGCCTTGCCCCCAACGGAGCCAGTAGACTTACACTAGTTACTGTGCGATTTCGCACGAATTCGGTTCAAAATTGCGGGAGTTCGGAACAATTTTGGCATTTGTCCTCGCCCCTTCGTCCGAGAGAAGATGC